CTGCCTCAACCTCCCAAAGTGCTAGGATTACAGGCATGAGCCACTGCGCCTGGCCGTGACTGATTTTCTTTTTGTAGAATTGTCAACACGAGAGATCACAGTGGAGCACTTTGAATGAAGGACTGTCAGTTGTGTGCATGCACACACACTCAATGCACAGCTGTTTGGAGTCCAGGTTACTAAGGCTGGCACTTCTGAATGACAGGTGCCACCTGCGTGTGTCTTGGTTTCCACACCACACCTGTGATGGAAGCACTTCTAGAAGTGAACATGTGTTTTGAAAGCTTGATTTTGTAGCTTTGGAAGCTGGAAGCGATGGTGTTTGGTGCCAAGTCCTGTGTGGCTTTGGAAGCTGGAAGCGATGGTGTTTGGTGCAAAGTCCTGTGTGGCTTTGGAAGCTGGAAGCAGTGGTGTTCGGTGCCGAGTCCTGTGTCATCCTTAGGACCTGCGAGCTCCGTACCAGCCACTCAGAAGTGTCTGAACAGAAGCACTTGGTGACTTGTAACTGGGTCTGAGGATTTAGGATTGTGGCATTTTTCAAAGAGGAGACTTGGAAATCCCCAATGGCTGGAAGGTGGAGCCCATGTGCCTCTGGTGGAGGGTTACCTGCTTTTCCACACTGCGGCTGTGAACCAGCTCATTCTCCAAGAAAGATTAAAAGCTGAGAACATCCAAAGGTGAGACTCAGACACATTGAAAGTGACTGCATTTAGGGAAGTTTAATGACTTCTTACTGATCGTTCCAGTTCTTACTGGTTAAGATAATTTGCCAACAGGTTTGTTTCCAAGTCCTCTCCCAGCACCAGGCTCCTGGTATTTCAGGGGCTCGTTGGCTGCATAGACAGCCCCTCTTCTGCTGTCCCTGAGCACAGACACCAAACCGGAGGTGGAGGAAGAATGGTAGGAAGGCTGATTGCAAAGGCAGCTGTGTGTCAAAGGTTATTTTAACTTTTTATTATTTGTTATTGTTTCTGCAAATGCTAACACGTAAACTATGACCTAACTTTTGTCACCTTTGATATCTATTGAATGTTAAACATCTCTATTTAATAAAGATGGCCAGCACTTAATGTGTGCAAAGTGATGGCCTTCTCGTGGGCCATGTGTTTGGGTGTGAGTATGGCCTTGACCAAGGGTCTTGGTGCTTGATTCACTTTTAGAGATAGGGTCAGTTGCCCAGGCTTGAGTGCAGTGGTGCAATCATAGCTCACTGCAGCCTCGACTTCCTGGGCTCAAGCGGTCCTCCAGCCTCAGCCTCCCAAGTAGCTAGGACCATAGTCGCATGCCACCAAACCCAGCTATTTAAAAAAAAAAATTTGTAGAGACAGGATCTCACTGTGTTGCCCAAGCTGGCCTTGAACTCCTGGGCTCAAGTAGTCTTCCTGCCTCAGCCTCCCAGAGTGCTGGGATGACAGGTGTGAGCTACTGTACCAGGCCCTTGGTTCTTTTAAAATTAATCTTGTCATGTAGGATGTCCTTACAGAATGAAAAACCTAGCAAGTTTATTCCCCAACAGAACCTAATACCTTGATTGGATTCTATTGCTAATTGAAATTAGAATTCAGTTCCATGGTCAGTGGTTCAGGGTATATGTATTGTGAGCTGCTGGAGACAATGGTGAACAGGCGTGCCTCCCGGAGAGCTGAATGTGAAGCACATGTTGGCATCGCTGCTCACCAGGCTCACCCGGGATGATGGTGTGGATCGCTAGCCACATGCGACGTCTGCCCTGCCCTAGTGTCTGAGGCCGGTGAAGGGTCAGGTGTCACCAGCACCTGTAGCCTTCTCACCGGGCGAGGCTGGGGTTGTGGGAAGTGGGGACAGCCGGCTCTGGTCCCGGGCCCTGATGGGCATCCAGCATTTTGCTGATGCAGGCTGCCCTGAGGCCACACCCTCCAGAGACTGCTGTCTGGGCGGAGATTGAGCCAGCATCCCAGAGGCCTTGATCGTGGGGAGGCACCTGTGTGCGCCATGTGTTTCCCAGCCTCCATTGGCAAGTGGGAAAGCTGGCACAGAAGAGCGGTGCCTGCAGGTGCTTCCGGTCACCACCACCGCTCCCAGACACCATCTCCAGAACTCATGGCATCTGTGCTGGTTGGAGGGTCAGGGCTACAACTCTGCCTGACAAGCAGTCTGCTGCAGGGGACGCAAATGTCAGACCCAGCAGGGCCCAGCACTTGAAGTGCCACATGCCACCCTGGTGGCCTCCGGGCACCCCACTGTCCACGTGTCTGAGCATGGAGCTGTCCATCTGGGGCACTGGCCTTAAACACCAAGGACCTGCCACGGTTTGCCAGACACATCCGAACACAAGGTCAGGAGGTTCGAACAGGACGAGAAAAATTCCTGGAGGCCTCCTCACAAGGCGTCCTGCGTCCTGTGTCCTGCTCTTTGGGGAAAATTTCTCCCCAGCGGAAATGGGGATTTACAAGTTTTAAAGGTCCTTGTCATTTCCGTGAAGGAAAACAAAGCAAAGACAGTTACAAGTTCCGATGAGCTTCCCACTGTGCTGGGCGACAGAGTTCACAGGGCGTGGGCGAGGGGCACAGCTGGACCCAGAGGAGAGTTCGATCCATCCGAAGGAAGTCATGATGGTCCCAGTTTTCTCTGATGGGCACGTCTGGACTTGCCTGTGTGTAAAGTGGGCACGAAAGACGGGGCCCCTGCGGTGGCCGAGAACTTGGCTGTGGCTCCTGCTGCTCGCCAGGCAGCGTGGGAGCTGGGTCTCCCTCGGGACCCCTCAAAAGATGTCCCTCACCGTCCTCTACAGGCTGACGTAAAATTTCTGGGAGGCAAAAGCCACGTTTGCCAATTCTGGGTACGAAGTTCACTTTGCAGTTGGTCCTTCGCTTGGTGAGCTTTGGGAGCCAGGCCTCTGTGGCCAGATGTTTAGAAGCGCGATGGTGGCTCTGCAGAGGGCGATGGCATGCAGCCGGGCGCTCCTGTTGCCCACGCCTCCCAGGCCCTCACCCCTCACCGTGCCTGCGCCCAGCTGCTCCTCCAGCGACATTCATCCCAGCAGGCAGCATGGACACGGCAGCTGAGAAAAGATGCCAGCAGAACACGCTTATTTTATAATATTTAATAACTCAGTGCCAATCTGCATTAACACAGTCATCCTCAGGTTTTTCAGAGGGCTGTGTACATATCTGTGAAAATAAATGTTAGCCTCTAAGTTTTGAATGAAGATTCTCTGAAGACGGGCAGCAGGTGATCTTTGTTTTACATTGAGCAATTTTTCACCATCTCAGCCGCTCTGGCCATTTTGAAAAGGGCTACAAATCTGCTATGCATGAAATCCTCATGCCCAGTTATCAGATGTTTGGACCGTGTGTTCCTGAGGATTGGCCAAGCAAATGCTCATTTCCAAAAACTGCCCTGTGGGGAGGAGACTGGGGAACACTCATGAGATCTGTTGGGTGGCACATGCAAGGGGTGGAGCACCCAGGTTCTCCAAGCAGCAGGAGGCTCTGATGGACTCCCCTCCACTGGCAGGGGGAGGCTACTGCTAGAAGCAGCGAAGTGCCTGGTGCCACAGGTTTCAGCTGCCTGCCTTCTGCCGTAAGTGGCCCCAGCACCTCCGTGCTTTTCAGGAGTGTGAGCTGAGCAGACACGGTCATCCCAGTGGTCACTGTGGCTGGGGCGGAGGGACACACGGTCCATGGGACGTCCATGCTCTTGGAATGCTCCAGGTGTGTGGCTGTGGGGTTCCACCATCATTGCCTGATTCTGGAGCCAGAGGCTCATCCCACACTGCCTGGTCTGCCCCACAGAGCATCAGCGCCATGTCAGATGAGGAGAGCAGCTCTCAGCAGACAACCAAGCCTGCCGCCCCACTCACGCTGACTTCCTGCCCTGCAGAACTGTGAGAAAGTAAGTTTCTGCTCTTTGTGAACTGCCTGGTCAGTGGTGGTGGTATGGCAGCACAGATGGACCGATGGTGGACCTCGATGCCAATGGCAGACTCTGGGTGCTGACCTGGTGTCGGCGCAGCTCACCGAACACCCAGGGGAACCAGAACTGTTCGCCCTCCGCTCAGTTGTGACTTGTCTTAGACATTTTTTAAATGTTAAAAAAAAAAAAAAAAAAACGCAAGGCATGGTGGCTCACACCTGTAATTCCAGCACTTTGGGAGGTCGAGGTGGGTGGATCGCTCAAGTTCAGGAGTTCGAGACCAGCTCGGCCAACATGGTGAAACCCCATCTCTAATAAAAATACAAAAATTAGCTGGGCCTGGTGGCGTGCACCTGTAATCCCAACTACTCAGGAGGCTGAGGTGGGAGAACTGCTTGAACCCGGGAGGCGGGGGCTGCAGTGAGCTGAGATCAAGCCACTGCACTCCAGCCTAGGGGATAGAGTAAGACTCCATCTCAAAAAAAAAAAAAAAAAGTAAAAAGTTTAAAAAACCCTACCCCTGCCTAACGCTTTTCCCAAGTAGCCATGCCATTGGCGTTCCCAACTTTGCCTGGCACCTTCTGTCCTTTGCTTGTAGCCCCAGCAGGTGTATTTCGTTGGCATTTCTCTCATGAGTAATGGTGTTGAGCAGCTTGCCACGGTGCCTTTGCCGCCTGCGACTTCTTCGGTGAAACATCCGGAGGTGTCTTCTGCTGACGTGGCGGCGCGGCCCGGGCTTTCACCCGAGGAGCCTGCAGCACGTGGAGGGCGTCAGGGTGTGCTTTCTTCACAGTTTGGGGCTTTCTTGGGACAGGGTCTCGCTCTGTCACCCAGGCTGGAGTGCAGTGGTGCCATCACGGCTCACATCACGGCTCACTGCGGCCTTGACCTTCACGTCAGCCTCCCAAGTAGCTGAGACTACAGGCGTGCACCGCCACGCCTGGCTCTTGTTTCATTTGTCTTTTTGTAAAGACGGGGTCTCACTGTCTTGGTTAAGCTGGTCGTGAACTCCTGGGCTTCGAGGGACCCTCTCACCTTGGCCTCCCAAAGTGCTGGGATTACAGGTGTGAGCCATCGTGCAAGTCCAGGGCTTGTTTTTTTTGTTGTTGTTTTTTGTTTTTTGTTTTTTTGCTAAACAGGATGAAATCTCCTTTAGGGGATCTCTTAATCCAAATCCTTGAGTTGAATGCGCGTGTCCCGGTGAGGCTGCTCCTCTAGATGCTGCAGGCATTTTGCAGACATCCTACCAACTGCCATCAGCGACCAATTAGATAGCGACAGCTGCGCCTGTCACACAGCCCTTCCAACCTTGCGTGTGCTTCAAGTCCGAGATTCCAACCTTGCGTGTGCTTCAAGTCCGAGATTCCAACCTTTAATTGTGCTTCAAGTCCGAGATTCCAACCTTGCGTGTGCTTCAAGTCCGAGATTCCAACCTTGCGTGTGCTTCAAGTCGAGATTCCAACCTTGCGTGTACTTCAAGTCGAGATTCAACCTTGCGTGTGCTTCAAGTCCGAGATTCCAACCTTACGTGTGCTTCAGTCCGAGAGATTCCAACCTTGCGTGTGCTTCAAGTCCGAGATTCCAACCTTGCGTGTGCTTCAAGTCCGAGATTCCAACCTTGAGTGTGCTTCAAGTCCGAGATTCTGACAGAAAGCAGCGTGTTATTGCCCCACTCACTCCGTGGCCACAGCTGGAGTCCTGGGCTGCGTGTGCTTCAAGTCCGAGATTCCTGACAGAAAGCAGCGTGTGCCCCCACTCACTCCGTGGCCACAGCTGGAGTCCTGGGCTGCTGGGTGCTCCAGGTGCCACACCCCACACACGCATAGAGCCCGTGCGCTGGCAGCAGGCACCCACAGTGCCCTCTGCAATGCCTGTCTGGCTGCGGCTTGTTTCCTCACTGCGGCGTGCTCATAGGAATGTGCGAATTTCACTTGAAGTGTAGGTAAAGAGTTCTGGGGTTTTTTGTTTGTTTTGAGCCATCCCAGGCCACAGGGCCACCAGGAACTGGAGGAAATGGTAAATCCAGGGCACTCTTGGCCACTTCGTTGGCCTCTGCACACTTGGCCCCTGCGGCTGTCTGTGACGTAAATAAGTGACACTTGCCTGCCACCCTCTTGCCGGGAAAGCCGGGTTGGGTTTTCTCATTTCCACTTTTTCCCTGTTTTACACGAGGGCACGAGGACGGGGCTGCAGTATCAGTGGCGCACCTATCACCAGCCGACCCCAGAGCTTTGTGTTAGCCCCTCTCAAGCCCTTTAGCCTCTGGACCCCTTAAATTCTTAAAAGTTATACAGGACCCCAAAGAGCTTTTGTTTATGTGAGCTTTATTGACATTTACCATACTAGGAATTAAGAGGACATTTAAAACTATTTAACTACATAAAAATAACAAACTCACTACCTGTTAACACATATTTTAAAATGAAAAATAGCTACATTTTCCAAAACAACATGAATGGGAGCATTATGACAGTCAAAAGCTGGCGACTAAACATAACTGGCACAAGTTCTGCCACCGAGACAATGGAGGGCTGAGCAGTAGGCTCCCTGCAGAAAGGACTGGAGCTGCCAGCATCAACACCAACGCATCTCCCAACAAGGGTGAATGAAAACATACACCTAAAGACCTCAGAGAGCTGTGCATCCACTCGGAGGGTGAGCCACCAAGCACATGCTGACCCCGGGGAGCGCCCGAAGTGAGCAGAGTATCTGAAGGAAAGAAGGAAGTGAGCAGTGGGCAAAGGAGAACCCGAGGACCCTGGCACGGTCTCAGCTGCAGACATCTAGTCCTTCTGCTTAACTGGGGTGCCGAGGCCACTGCACCTCGGGGTTCTCACGAAGCTCCTGACCTATTTTTATTACTATTATTTATTTATTTTATTTTTTATTTTTGAAGAGTCTCCCTTTGTTGCCCAGGCTGGAGTGCAGTGGCACAATCTCAGCTCACTGCAACCTCCACCTCCCAGGTTCAGGCGATTCTCGTGCCTCAGCCTCCTGAGTAGCTGGAATTACAGGCATGTGCCAGCACTCCTTGCTAATTTTTGCATTCTTAGTAGAGTCGGGGTTTCATCATGTTGCCCAGGCTGGTCTTGAACTCTTGGCCTCAAGTGATCCGCCCACCTCGGCCTCCCAAAGTGCTGGAATTACAGGCGTGAGCCACCGTGCCCGACCCCTCTAAGAGCCCCCGCCTGGCGTCGCTGTAGGCAAATCCCAAAGAACGTGTCCCTCTTCAGCAGCCGGCTGGGGCGCCACAAGCACTCTCTGTTGTCTTCGCTTTAGTTTGTGTCAAAAGTGACTCAAAGTTACACAACACTGGAGGGCGACTGCAGCCTTTTTACCCTGTGGCCTTTCCCATCCAGGCGCCCAGAGGATAAGCTCCTGCCCTCCGGGACCCCTCCCTTCCAGGACCCCACCCCTCTGGGACTCAGGCCTTCCCTGACTCCTCCCCTCCCGGATCCCTCCCCTCCGGGACCCTCTTCCCTCCCGGGCCCCCTCCCCTCCGGGAACCCCTCCCCTCCCGGACTCACCCCTCCTAGATCCCTCCCCTCCCGGGACTCCTCTCCTCCGGGACCCACCCCTCCCTAACCCCTGCCCTCCCCGACCCCTGCGGGACTAGATGTATGCAGCTGAGACCATGTCACGGTTCTCACCCCTGCTCTCCCCGGACCCCTGCTCTCCCGGACGCGTGGACTGCGGCTCCTGCCCGGGTGCCCGAAGCGCTGAACCATGGTCACTTCTGTGCGTAGCCCCCCTCGACTTCCGCCTATCCGCTGGCACAGTCACACGAGTGACAGCTCTGCCCGCCCGGGCTGGCGACGCCGAGGGGTGGGCTTGGCCCGACCTCAGCAGGTCCCCAGCGCGCTTCTGAAACCCGCCTGCGGTCCTTGGCGCCGCCTCTAGGGGCCGCCGCCGCTCCCCTATGACACAGCAACAATAGGGGCCGCTCTGGCCCACGCGCCTCCCGGCCCGCGCTTCCGCCGGAAAAGAGGCGCCGGCGCGGGGGCGGACCGGGGAGGAGCGAGTGCGATGGACGGTCGCCCTCGCCAATCGGTGGCAGATTAGGGCCGGCCGCGCGGCCTCCGGGGCCCAATCGGTGGCGAGAGCGGCAGGCGGGGCGGGCCGAACGCGGGCTTCCGGCGGGGCCCGGCAGGCGCCGAGGAGGAAGAGCCCGGACGGCGCCTCTCGTACGAGTGTGGGCGCGAGGCAGGTGCGGGGGTCTCAGGTCCTGGGGCGGCCGGGGGCGACCGGAGGCGGGGGCAGGGGCTGCTGGTCCGGGGATGGGGCGGGGTCAGCCAGGACGAGAAGGTGGCCGGCGCGGCGGACGGGGCCTGCGGGGGCCGGGCCGGGTGGGGGCTCTGTGGTTCGGGCGCCGCCCCGGTTCCGCCTGCGGCCCTAACGTGGGGCTCGGCGGGAGCTCGGGCGGGTCTGCCCCGCGGAGCGGGTCGCCGGGGCGGCGCGTCGAGGCTGGTTCCCCGAGGAGACGGCGTCACGCCTGGGGCCGGCCCCATTAGGCTCGGCGGGGCTGCCCCGGCCCAGCGCCGACTGCGGGCGGTGCGTTCGGCGGGCGCGGGGGAAACGCGGAAAGCAGCCCGGCGTGTCAGTGTGGACGGGGCCTGCGCGGCCTTAGGCAGCTCTGGGCGCCGGCCCCCTGCTCCCAAACACCCCGGGGGGCGGGAGCTTGCCGGACCGCAGGCGACCGTGACCGCCGCGTCTCAGCGTCGTCTCCGCGCTTTCAGGATGACGACCTCAGGCGCGCTCTTCCCAAGCCTGGTGCCAGGCTCTCGGGGCGCCTCCAACAAGTACCTGGTGGAGTTTCGGGCGGGAAAGATGTCCCTGAAGGGGACCACCGTGACCCCGGATAAGCGGAAAGGGCTGGTGTACATTCAGCAGACGGACGACTCGCTTATTCACTTCTGCTGGAAGGACAGGACGTCCGGGAACGTGGAAGACGTGAGTGTCCCAGAGCCGCAACAGCGGGACAGGCGACTTCTCGGGCCCTCAGAGTCCTCGCTTTGGAGTTCGCGGTGGGGGCTTGGCCGCATCTGGGGAACGCTCGTGAGGCCGTCATCGGCTGCCGTGCTGATGGGTCGGCCTGGTTTCCGCGAAGACAGGGGCGTCTCGGCCACTGTGTGTCTTGAACTTTCTGTGTGAGGTGCCTGGGGTTGGAGGTGTGGCCCTGGAGAGCCTGGAGCTCTCTGCCTGGCCGCTTCACTCAGTCTTCTTTGTTCTTCAAACTTTAAGTTGTTTTTTGTTACATTGGAGAGTAGTTCAGAGTTGACCTTTTAACTACTCTAGGAATGTTGTTCCCAACACGTCTTAGAAACCCAGTTGCTATCTGAAAGGCCCATTTCCCTGCTCTCCCCCCCGCGCCTTGCCTTTCATGGGCTGTCTCTGACCCTGGCTTCTCCACCTGGTGGAGACCCTGCCAGCGAGGGATCTGGCGGCTTAGCTGCCTCTTGTGCACCCCACCCCGTTAGACCCAGGGCCTGGCATGCTCTCCTGAGACTGGGCACAGTGGTGCCATCTGCACCGCTGACTCTCTCTTCCTGTGGCTTACCAGGACTTGATCATCTTCCCTGACGACTGTGAGTTCAAGCGGGTGCCGCAGTGCCCCAGCGGGAGGGTCTACGTGCTGAAGTTCAAGGCAGGGTCCAAGCGGCTTTTCTTCTGGATGCAGGTACGGGGCAGCTCTTGGGGTTTTGCGTTTTTGTTGCCCTGTGATTCAGTTAGGAACTTGCTTGCAGTGTGGTGCAACTGGCTGTTACAAACCAGCAGGCACCGGCCACACGGCCTGAGATGCCACCCCAGGACTGTGGTGCATGTTCCCTGGGGCCGAGGTCCTCTCCCAGAGTACGGCGGCTCCAGGCTGGGCTCCGGGTACCCAATTGCGGTGTGGAATTTCCAGGCAGGCAGGCATGCTGACCCTGGTTCCAGCGATGCCCAGTGCCCTTTCTGCCCCTTGCCGTGGGTCACTGAGGCCCTTGCAGCAGAGGCAGGGGCTCCTGTGTGGCTCACAGAAGCGAAGCATCCTCCTCTCCCATTCCACAGCCCTGCCCCTTCCCTGGCAGTGTGTCCTGGAGGCCAGGGGTATCAGCGCCCAGGTTTTCTCTTACCCACAGCTGCAGAGCGTCCGTTGGGTGCAGAGGCCATTGCTCATTCATTCTGCCATCTGTCAGTGACCATTGAGCTTGTTGCCGTTTTTTGTGCTGTTACAGGCAGTGTTGCAAAGAATTGCCTGGTACACAGATTATTTTCCATAAGCCAGTGTAATCTGGAGGTGAAAACTGGTGGCGGGCCTGTGGTCGGAAAGCGTGTGCATGCGTTTGCAGTGTGGAGAGAGAACGCCATGCTCTCTGCCGGGGGTGGAGCTGCTGTCCCCACCCCCAACCTTGGCCCTTTCGAGAGCAAGGGTGGCCCTGTCTGAGAGCCCTTTGTGGGGCAGATGGTTCGTGTTGCTGCTCACCTCTGCAGGTACTGTGCACGTGGCCTGGGAAATGAACAGGCATAGCCGAGTTCCAATTAAACTTTATTTGCAAACACAGATGGGGAGCACAGTTTGCCACCTGCTGGTGTAGAACGTGTTTTTCCATGGTTTTGCCAAGAAATAGTGTCCAACTCCCCTTTTTTTCCCAATTTTCCTGTTGATGACTTTTAAGTCCTTGTCCCCGGTTTGCCATGAGGGCAGGGACTCCCAGTGTCCCTGGTGCCCTGCTGCCTCCATAGCTGTTCGGGGTGTGCCCGTGAGGGCGGGGACTCCCAGTGTCCCTGGCACCCTGCAGCCTCCATAGCTGTTCGAGGTGTGCGTGGGTGCTCTGCTCCCAGCTCTGTGTGCTCGCAGGTTGATGCTTCTGACCCTGGTCTGTGCACGTGTGGGGACACACACGTGTGCTCGATTGTGAGGGCCTGCCGTGGCTCTGGGCTGTGGTGTGCTGAGTGGGCCAGTTTGCTGCCTTCCACTGGTTGAAGGAAGGAGACGGGTGTATAAAGAACCACACCCCAGAGGGCAAGAGGGTGAGAGGACTTGGCTTGGCAGCAGCTAAGTGCCTTTGGAGCCTTAGGCTCCCCATCTGTGAAATGGGTGGAGGGGGACAGGGCACACCCAGGATTGCAGCAGACTGGGACAGGGCGCGGAGCATTGTGCTCAGAAGGCACCACTGCCATCCCCTCACCTGCTGGGCTGAGTCTTGTCTCCTCAGCACTGTGTAGCCAGGCACACGCGCCTGTGCCTCTCAGGTCCCTCACCTGTAAGCCAGCTCAGAGGATGGCTGTGGTGGCCCTCAGAGTGAGCTGGCATCGGCTCCTGCCCTTACGTGTCCTTTCTCTGCAGGAACCCAAGACAGACCAGGATGAGGAGCACTGCCGGAAAGTCAACGAATATCTGAACAACCCCCCCATGCCTGGGGCGCTGGGGGCGAGTGGGAGCAGCGGCCACGAGCTCTCTGCACTAGGCGGTAACTGTCAGCTCTGTCACATGAGCTCAGGGTTTCCTGGGAGGCCGGAGTCTACTGTGGATGACTCGCTTCCTCCGCACAGGTTGTTTGGAAGTGGAAATAGAAGATTCTAAGTTAGAGACCCTGTGAGCTCCCTGGGTCACTCCCCAGTCCCATCTTCATGGGGTAGGACGGGTCTGTGTCCCACCATTGCCTCACTTCAAGTGGTGCCGCCTGTAGAGTTCAGAGGCAGCCGAGTGGGGTGCTCAGCAGAGGCCCAGGCAGCACTGTGGGGCCGGAGTGGGGCTGGCTGGGGTGGTGCTGTGGGGCCGGCATGGATCTGGCTGGAGCAGGACCCCTGAGCTGCAGTGTTTTCCAGGTGAGGGCGGCCTGCAGAGCCTGCTGGGGAACATGAGCCACAGTCAGCTCATGCAGCTCATCGGACCAGCTGGCCTCGGAGGACTGGGTAACGTTCGCCACCCGGGCTCTCAGGCAGCTTCCGCTGGGAATGCTTTGAGGCCCTGTCTCTGTTTCCTTTAAACTTTTGCTAGCTGTCTGCGTAGTGTCGGGGAGCCTGTGTGTCTGCAAGCTGGTTCCCCTTTGGGAATGTGCTTGTTTGCCTGTGGCCAGAGCTGGGTAGGCGCAGATTTCTGGGCCCCTGGTAAGGACCCCAGCTGGGTACTTCAGAGGAGGATGGCTGGCTGAGCGGCGGGGCTGGAGGACTGGAGGGAGCTGGGGTTCCTGTCCTGGGTCCCTTGGCCCATATGGCTGCCTGCCTGCTGCTAGTTCATGGAGTACAGACCCGTGTGCTTGGCCCTTCAGAAATATTTGTCCCTTTGGGTGGGATCTGGACTGAATCTGCTTTTAATCTAAGCGCATGAATTGTGTCATGGGATGGAACAGAAGTGACCTTGCTTCCAGAACACAGCTGCAAGTGTCCGCCCGCCCCGCGGCTCCTCCGGGCCTGTGGCCCCCCCGCCCCGCTTCACCCTGCGGCTCCTGGCTTTGATGTTGGGAATTCCTGCTCCTCTGGCCTGGGGAGGGGCAGGCTCTTCCTGGTGGGCTAGAGGGCATAAAAGCTCGCATTTCCTTGCCCCACGCAGGTGGGCTGGGGGCCCTGACTGGACCTGGCCTGGCCAGCTTACTGGGGAGCAGCGGGCCTCCAGGGAGCAGCTCCTCCTCCAGGTGAGCCCCATCGCTCCAGCCCCGCCATGCGGGCGCCACGGTGTTATGGGAGGGACAGCGGGGAATCCTGCCTGGCACCTTGGACCCTGCGAGTAGGCCCTGCTGTGTGGGGGCGTGTCCGCTCCAACGGTGCCCTCTGTCTTCGCAGCTCCCGGAGCCAGTCGGCAGCGGTCACCCCGTCATCCACCACCTCTTCCACCCGTGCCACCCCAGCCCCTTCTGCTCCAGCAGCTGCCTCAGCAACTAGCCCGAGCCCTGCGCCCAGTTCCGGGAACGGAGCCAGCACAGCAGCCAGCCCCACCCAGCCCATCCAGCTGAGCGACCTCCAGAGCATCCTGGCCACGATGAATGTACCGGCTGGGCCAGCGGGTGGCCAGCAAGGTAATATGCGCTGTCGCCCGGAGCTGGGGGGCATGGGGCCTGCTGTCCCTGGCAAGCTGACCTTCCAAGGCGTCTGCCTTTTGTGCGCGCCTGGGGTGCTGGGGCCATGGGCTGAGCCCCTGCTTGCATACCCTCCATGTGGGCACTTAGGCTGGCATCGAGCTGATGGCCGTGTTCTTGTGTCCCAGTGGACCTGGCCAGTGTACTGACGCCAGAGATCATGGCTCCCATCCTCGCCAACGCGGACGTCCAGGAGCGCCTGCTTCCCTACTTGCCATCTGGGGAGTCACTGCCGCAGACCGCGGAGGAGATCCAGAACACCCTGACCTCGCCCCAGTTCCAGCAGGTAGAGGCCGGGCCCAGGGTGCCCTCCGCTGTGTGCTCAGGGAGTGGGCAGGAGGGAGGAAGAGGCCCTGCCCCACCTTCACCGTGGCCGTGCCTCATGTACCCGACCCCCAGAGCTGGCAGCTCAGCAGTGCAGCTCTGGGCCGCAGCCCAGGGTGGAGCTCAGCCCTCGCCTGGCTCTTCCTTGCAGGCCCTGGGCATGTTCAGCGCAGCCTTGGCCTCGGGGCAGCTGGGCCCCCTCATGTGCCAGTTCGGTCTGCCTGCGGAGGCTGTGGAGGCCGCCAACAAGGGCGGTAAGTGGCTGTGCCTGCACCTCCGGGCCAGAGCCAGAGGCAGGGTCCATTCCTGTCCCCCTGGATTTGCGAAGTGGGGCTGAGGGGGCGAAGGTCACAGCCCTTCTGCCCTTGATCCCACCGCTTTGATCCCCAGTTCTGGGCAAGGGTTAGACGCCACCTTGTGTCTTTAACGTGTTCTAGATGTGGAAGCGTTTGCCAAAGCCATGCAGAACAACGCCAAGCCCGAGCAGAAAGAGGGCGACACAAAGGACAAGAAGGACGAAGAGGAGGACATGAGCCTGGACTGAGCCACGCGCCGTCCTCCGAGGGACTGACTCGGCGCTTGCAGTGCGTTGCACAGCCTCACCTCCCACCCACTGATAATAAAGTCTTTTCTTTTACCCGCCAACGCCTCCTTTCTTTGCCCAAAGGAGTTTTGGCTGGACAGATGCTAGCGTGAGGCGCTGCTGTAGGATCCCAGAGAAACTTACTTGACCTAACAATGGAAAACGGTCACCCCGGGGCCAGTTCCAGACCTGTCTTGAGACTCCATATTTAAGTCAACATTCAGTTACACAGAAGTTACTTTTTAAAGGAGGAACCAGTGATTACAACTCTCTCACAATTAAAAATAGGTGGAAGGGCCAAGTATAAAAACATTTTGCAGTATTTTATTCTTTCATGTAAAAAGATATAACTTAAACCATCTCCAGAAACAAGATCTGTCACCCATAGAGCCTAGAATCCCAGTAAACACCTATGAGGCGAGCACAAAGGGCAGTGAGAGGAGTCACCTGCAAGGGCCTGACCAGAGGCCGGGGCTGGCAGTGCCCTAGGCGGCTGGGCAGCCACTGGCCCCTACTGCCCCGTGGACCTCTGCAGAACGAGTCATGGTGACGGGGGCCTGGTTCACTGTCAGCCTCCTCATGCAGCCACGGTAGGCGGGGGGCCAGGGCTGCATGGCCGTGGGCTCTGGGGGGGCAGGGAAGATGGAAGAAGGCTGGTTGGAGGGCAGCTTGGGACCCACCGCCCCTTCCCAGACATAGGTCCCCCACCCAGCCTCTGTCTTGTTCCACACCACAGGAGGGTGGGAGGGGGGTGGGTTACGCAGCCTCTAGTCCTGAGGGGCAGCTTCCCCACGCTTGATTAAGGCTGCACTCACCAGGCAGGCCCCCGAGGTGCAGAGGGGCTGGGGCACCAGCCGCAGCCGCCAGCGAGGGGCCCACGGTGTGGTTGCTCTGCGCGTCCACCTCTAGCCGGAGCACGTTCCCGCCTTTCATCACTGTGGGAGAAGGTGGACTCTGAGGCCAGGTAGTCCCCAGCCAGGCCTCTCTCCAGCCCTGAAAGAAGCTGCCCCACCCAGAGTCCCGCTTGACTCCCTCTCTGCAGAAGAGTGGGGGTGGGAGTGGCAGAGTGCCCTGGCCACAGGAGGGGCCTCACCTGCCAGCCGGTGCCACTGGCCGTCACACAGCACTGAGGGGCGGGTCACTGATGTGGAGAACTCCCCTGCTCCGTCGTCCGCCCGCAGCAGGACCTGGCGGGGTAGGAAGGGAGGGTCAGGGCATGCCCCCAAGGTCACCAGAATGGAGAGGCAAATCCAGCCCTGGTGTGCCACCCCTGCCAGGCTTACTTGCTTCTCAGTCACCTGCAGCTGCAAATAGGGGGGTGTCCGGGCCTGGCCCAAGTGGAAGATCAGGCCGGTGACTGCCAGGGGCCGCACCTCCAGTTCCAGGCCCACGTCAGGCAGTGTAGCTCCTGGGAGGTCTGCAGGGAGAGGTTGTGATAGAGAAGGAAGGGGGGGCCCCTCCCCAGAACCTCCCGGAGCCCGCTGCCCTGCCCTGCTGGGGCCTGGGATGCCAGCACCCACAGACCTAAAGTGATAACTCCCCCGCTGCCTGGGAAGAACAGGCCCGCCTCCAGGGGGCCCGAGATGCAGGGTGTGACCCCTGCCATCCGTGTGGGGGCCCCCAGGGGCCTCCCGTGCAGCCTCAGTCTCTTCACACAGCCGCTAAACCCGACGGTCACCTATAGGGAGCAGACAGGGCAGGGATCAGGGCCCAGGGCAGCTGAAAGGGGTGAACAGTGGGTGGGGAGTGAGGGCCGGGGCAAGATGGTTCTCACCGGAAGTTTGGAGCTGTGGCTGCTGGCCGGGAGGCCCCCTACAAAGAGGGTGTGGGGCTGGGGGTGCTCTGCCCCCTGGTGCTGCCGGCGTGGCCCCTCCTGGCTCCAGGCCCGGGCCCCGTCCGTCACCAGCAGGATCCGGTTCTTCTCCCAGCGCACGGAGACCTGGGGGCAGGAGGCGGGTCAGGGTAGGGCCGCCAGGCCCTGCCCACCTTCCTTCTTCTTGGCCCGTACCTTGTGCCAGTGGCCAGGCCGGGAGCGCTGGCGGCTCTGGGCGCGGAGCCGAGTCCCAAGGCCTTCCATCTGTGCGACGAAGTGTCCATTGCTCAGGAAGAGTGCCAGGGAGGGGCTGCTGGGCCTCAGGCTCGAAGCGAAGAGCAGGAGGCCTCGGGGGCTTCTCGGGAGGACATGCATGGAGAGGCTGGGCCTGGAAGCGGAGCTGGCGTCAGCCTGCGCGGCCCCTCTCAGCCCACCCCAGCTGTGTCTGGCCTTACCAGTTCCTATGTGGGGCCAGGATGCCCACAAACTCCAGGTGACTGGACAGGGAACCCCCAAACTGGTAGGTGTCTCGGGTGGTCCTGAGGTGTGGGGGCAGCATGCAGGCGGGGTCCTGGGTGGGCTGACGACTGCGGCGGGAAGCCTGGGGGCATGGATGGTGAATGCAGGGGCTGCCCGCACGGGGGCCACCCTTCCAGTCACCCCAGCTCTGCCCGCTCACCCCTGGGGCGCCCACCTTCCGGGCGGCGGTCTGCAGTCCTCTAGGCCCCAGGTCCAGGGTCTGGGCTTGCAGGCTGGGTGCACAGCCCGTGCTCACGTTCACGCTGCCCAGGTTCTGCTGCAGGTCGAATACGCGCTGTGGGCCCAGGAGCCTGTGCAGGGCGGACAGGCGGTCAGCAGCTGCAGAAGGCCAGCGGGGGCCTTGCCCCCCAGTGCCCACCAGGCTCACCGCCGCACGAAGACGTTGCTTATGCAGCCACTGAAGTGAAGGGTGTCAGGCTCAGGCAGGCCTCCCAGGAGGAGACTCGGGGACCCCTCAGGCTGCGGCTGGGGCTCTGGGGGTGATCCCCGGTGGGGCTTCATCTGCTGGAGCTGGTCGTCGACATACAGCCAGACCCTGGGGGGCGGGAGGCCGGAGGCTCGGTTCTTCCATACCCTGCCCACCCCCACCTCAGAGGAGACAGAGGTCCGGGCAAGTGCAGGCAGGTGTCCCTCCAGACCTTCATGTGAGGGCCCAGCGGCCAGGCTCACCCTGTGGCATTGCTGTAGAAGGCGACGTAATGGGGGGCACCATCGGCGAAGCCCCCCTCAGCTATCACTTCAGTTCTCAGGAGCTGTAGGGCCACATGGCCCTGCCGCAAGGACACCTGGCATGGCCCATCCTGGGGACAGCAGCCAGGTCAGCTGGCCAGTCTGGGGACCCAGACTCATTCCAGCCACCCCAGTCCTGACTGCCCCGACGGCCACTGCGGGTTGGGGAGTGGGCACGGGTGTGAGGTCTCACCGGGGACGCCCGGTAGTAGAGCAGGGCACTGTCCTGGGCACTGTGGAAGCCAAAGCCGGAGTAGACGTCGCCAGTGAGGGGCGCCACGTTCGAGAGTGCCAGGTGAAGGAAGCCGTGGCCGTGGAAAGTCATGGCACGCCCCACCTGCGGGGAGGCTGTCCCTGAGTGCCCGCAGGTACCCCTGCATGTCCACAGATGCCACCCCCAGCCCGGGAAGGGCTGCTCACCAGCAGGTCAGCGGTGCAGCCGGCGCTCACGCCTGTCGTGTTCAGCCGCTTGAGGTCCACATACTTGCCCAGGGCCTTGATCCCTTTGACGCAGCCACGGACTGAGCCTCCCATGGGGAAGAGCCGTCGCAGGCTGCGGGGACACAGGGATGTGAGTCAGGGCACCGCCTCTAAGCCCAGCCTCCCGCCCCGACAGCCTGGCCTCGGAGCCCCAGCTGCAGAGTGCTCACCTCGGGGGCAGCTGGTCGGGTGGCGCGCCCCCCAGGTAGTAGGCGTCGGCCAGTTCCAGAGCATTGTCCTGCTCCACGCTGAACACCGTGGCCCGCTCTACACGCACCAGCACACGCTTGCGGCTGCCCCCCAGCAGGAACACCTGGATCTGCAGGACCAGTGCGGGCTCCAGGGCCAGCTGTGTCCCTGTGGCCTGCCCCGCCCCCATCATCCCACCTCCTCTCCCTGCCACCCTGGCCCCACCCTGACCTTACCGCCTTGCTGGCCGAGGTCAGGGGCGGTGGGGTCTGCAGTGGGACAGCCTCTCTCAGGCCAGCGCCAAAGTCATACAGCAGCACGAGGCTGCCTTCTCGCACGGCCAAGCACAGGAACTGGCTCTGCAGAAACAGGGCAGGGTTAGTGTGGGGCAGGATCAGTGCAAGTGGGGACGGTGAGACAGGTGTGCCCGGCATACCTGCTGCTTCAGGAAGAAGAGGACCCCACTGTAGGATACAAGTCGCAGCTCCTGTTCAAAGCGCTTGGTGGTGCTGATCTGACCATCGAAGCTGATGCGGGCAAAACCAGTGCCATCCAGGTAGGAGCCGTCTGTGAGCCACGGGTCCCCGGTCGACTTGGAGCTGCAGGTCAGAAGTTCTGGGGTCAGCGGAGGGTGGGGTGGGTGGAGATGGGGAGGGCAGGCCACACGCACCGGGCACAAGGCCTGTCCACAGCCGTGTCCAGCTGGAAGGTCCTCTCGAAGTTGTAGAGGCTGACCACCTCCTCGTTCAGCGTGTCCATCTCGATGCAGCCCCGGTAGCCAGGGAAGCGAAGCAGGGGAGGGGGCTGTGGGCACAAGGCTGGGTCAGGGCACCTGGCCTGAGGCATCTCCCCTCCAGGATGGACCAAGGGGACTTCAGACTACAGCAGGACGGACCGAGGCGAGATACCAAGAGAACCCACAGCTCTCCAGGACACAAGTGACTTGGGGCTGTGGAGCCCCTCCCAGGCTGCCCCCGGCTGGGCGGGCTCACCGTGAAGGTACTGGGGTAACCCCCGACGTAGAAGACAAAGTCGTCTGGCCGCAGGTTGAGCAGCCCCTCTGCCCCAGGGGCCACCGTGTCACCCTTGGTTTCCTGGATCATCTGTCTCTCCACTGTGACAGACATGTGGCCAAACTGGAGAGTCCTGAGGGCAGAGGCTAGGGTTGGTGAGTGAGCACGGAGAGGGAGGGGCGGCGGGTGGGCACGGAGGGGCGAGGGGCGGCGGGTGGGCAATTAGTAAACACGGAAGAGAGAAGCCAGCAGGTAACCTGAAGCGAGCGCGGAAAGGTAAACACAAGCGCGGTAAACCTGAAAGGAAAGCGCGAGTAAAACACAGCCTGAAGGAGAGGTAGCGAGAGTAAACCTGAAAGGAAGAGGCAGCCCAGGTAAACTTCTCGGAAAAGCCCAGCGCGAGTAAAACCTGAAGAAAGCGAAAGCCTTAGAGTAAAACCTGAGAAAGGAAAGAAGCGCCCAGGCAAACCTGAAGAAGGAAAGTAGCAGGCAAAACACGGAAGGCAAAAGCTGTGTTAAACACGAAAGAAGCGAGAAAGCAGCCAGGTAAACACAGGCGCGTAAGGTAAACACGGAAGAGAAGCGAAGCGTGAGTAAAACCTGAAAGCGGCGCCAGGTAGAAGCGGAAAGCGAGCGCGGGTAAACCTGAAGCAGCCTTGGAAGTAAACATGCAGGCTTGTGAGTGAAACACGAGAGAAAGGAAAGCGGCGGAGCACGGAAGAAGCGGCGCGAGTGAGCACAGGCGAGCGCGGAAGGTAAACCTGAGAGCGAAAGCGTGAGTAAACTACGGAGAAGGAAAGAAGCGTGAGTAAACACAGGCGGCGGAAGTAAACACAGCGAAGAAGGAAAGCGGCCGAAACCTGAAAAGCGGCGCGGAAGTGGAAACACAGGCGAAGTAAACACGGAGGAGACAAAGTGGAAACACGGGCGAGTAGCGAGTAAACACGGAAAGTCTAAAAGAAGAGTAGGTAAACACAGAGAAGGAAAGCCTTGAGTAAACCTGAAGAAAGCGCGCTAAGTGTAAACACAAAGAGAAAAGCGAAAGCAGCCAGTAAACCTGCAGAGAAAGAAGCAGGCGAAAGCAGCGAAGTAGCCGCAGGCCGAGTATGATAACCCGCAGGCGAAAGCGGAAGGTAGGCGCGGAAAGTGAGATAAGCAGCAGGCGCCGACCCCTACAATTGAAACATCGAGACTCCCTCCAGGAGCCTCCCCACCTGTCCAGGCTGACAGCTGCAAACTGCTCCCCAATGTCCTCAAATCGATGCCCAGGACCAGCGGGGGCCCGCCTCGCCCAGCCCGATCACAGTGCACCTTCTTGTCACGCAGAGGCACACCCATGTAGTCACCAGTAGCCTGCAGCATGATATGACACAGTGGGAATGAGACCAGAGTACCACCATTCCAAACAGATGCTGAGCTCGGGCCCCATCACCCAGCCAGCCTGGTACCTGGCGGCTGCCAGAGCACATCACGTGATCCTCAGTTTCAGCCCAGAGCTCAGAGCTCAGGCCTGCAGAGTAGGCATTCACCTCCTTCCACTCCCCTCCTCCCATCCATCATCTCACCTCCTGGGCGCCCGTTGAACTTCATGGGCACCTTGACCTGCAGGGCACGGTCCATCATCCATCACCACCCTCCTGATATGCCCTGAGACTCTCACTCACTGCTGGCAGCCCCGGGCCTGGGCGTCGCTGCCGCACCTGCGGCCGATGCTGGTTCGAGACCAAAGGCTGGCGTTATGCGCCCAGTTCTCAGACCTCAGCTTGGCAGCAACAGGCAAGCGTCTTCTCAAATGGACACTGCACAGAGGGAAAGTGCCTGAGACCTTCCCCCACCCTGCCCCGCCTCCCTCCAGGGGCACGTGAGGAGCCATCGGCACACCTGGCAGCCTCGTCGAAGCCTCACGCCTGGCCGTCCTGGCCCCGCCGTCTCTCGCCACCAGCCCTGCCACCGCTCCACCGCTCCTGCATGGCCTGCAGCTGCGACTGCACGGGCGGCGCCTGTCCTGGGCTCACGCGGCCACAGCCTTGGCGTGTGCGATCTTCTGTCTCGTCCTGCTTGGTGGGCAGAGGGCAGAAATTAACTGAGGCTGTGAGACCATTCACAACCATGTCCTAAGTCCTTTTGTCAGGCTAGCAACAGGGACATCCAACCCCCTACGGATCGTGTGAGACCCTCCACCCCAATGCAGTGCAATCCAAGCCATCCTGAGCGCCCTCCCATGCCAGGACAGGCACCCAGCCTCCCAGGCCATGGCTAGTCCCTGGACATGTGCCCTGTGCCACCTCCCACCGCCTGGCACCACCATCTCTCCTGGGCTCGCTGGGAACAGCTCAGCAGTCTCAGGGAGTCCCTCAGAAACGGGGGTGAGCCATATCCTCTGCTCCAAGCCTCACAGGGTGAGCCTGATCTCCCCGCCCAAGGTCTGCAGCCCTTGGTTCCAGCCAACGCTGACCTGCACCCCTCCTAGGCGCTCAACGCAGAGTGCGCTGGCCACTGGCCCAGGCTGCGCCTCCTACACCTCCTTCTACCCCCGCGCCAAAGCCTGCCAGCCTCCCAACGGCTGGGGCTGTTGTGTGCCCAACTGCAGCCTGGCACCTCACAGCAGCGTTCTGTGTCTGGCCCCAGCTGCCCTGTGAGGGTCTCCTCGCTACAGTGGCGGTCAGCGCCGCGCCTGTGGCCGCGCCCAGTGTCACATTTCCGTGGTGGCGGCTGGAGGCACGCCCAGGCTCGCACCTGTGTCCATGGCAAAAGCATAGCAGCTGCCCACGCCTGGTCATCGCCTCCAGTTTAGTCCTTCTTGGCCTGGGCGATGCCGGAGCTGGTCAGCACCTGGAGGGCAGCCCACACTACTTGAGGCAGGCAGCGTCAGCTCGGCCTTCACTAACATACAAGTGCAGCCCACCTCCACCCTGCTATTCAGAGACTAGCAGGCTGACACACAGGCAGACCACGGACAGACACGGAAGGCAGATGGAAACAGGCAGACACACAGAGGCAGACAAACAGGCAGACACACGACACACGGACAGACACACAGGCTGACCACCACAGGCCCAACCACCGGCGAAAATCTACGGACAGACACTGGACGAACACGTGAACCCGATGACCCCGAGCAGACACACAGAGCGAACGGACAGACACACGGACAGACACACAGAGGCAGACGCACAGGCAGACCACGGACACACAAGCAGACACACAGGCGAACACGGGCAGGCAGGCGGAAACCAGACCAAACAAACAACCTACAGACCATTTCAGACAAACACTGAAGCAAACCTACAGACAAGCAACCACGGACACACAAGCTGACACACAAGCAACCCCCAAGCAAACAGACAGACACACAAAAGCCAAACACACAAGAAGCAGAACCCACCGCAGACCCAGGAACACACAGAAGCAGAACCTGCGGACAAACTGATGATACAGAAGCGGGCCACGGACAGACAGACAGACACACAGACAGACACACGGACACACAGCCTTCATGACAGACACAGGCTGACACAGGCAGACACACAGGCAGACACACGAGCAGACACCACGGATGGCAGAGCTGGCCACAGGCAGACCACGGACAGGGACACTCCAGACATAGGTCAGCGCAGGGAGTGTTGAGTCTCAGCGCAGCCTCCGTTCCCACTGCAGGCAGAGCTGTCCCCATCGCGCAAGGCGAAACAACAGAGCTCAGAGGAGCCCCGGGTTCTGGCAGCTCACACCGTTCTCAGTGCGCAGCTTGGCACACGTGGTCCTTGGAGTCAGCAGAGCCCAAGCCCATGCCATCCTGCCCTGTGCCCTGTGCCTCAGCTGGTGCCTCAGTGGCAGCAGTACCTGCAAGGGGCTGCCTCCTCCACCATGGGCTCCCCTGCAGGGCTCCTGGGAGCTGACACATAAGCTGAGCAGAAACCTGGCCCCACCCCAAAACACGCTGTGGCAACCCACAACCCACGCGTGCATGTGGCTGAGGCTGAGGGTCCTGGGAGCTTAGATGCCCAGCAGGCCCAGAGGCCCCATTGGAGGCCAAGCTCACGGCTAGCCTCCCGCTCTCACTCCCGGAGGCTGCAGCCTCCTCAGTCTGCTGTTGCCGAGGCTGCCGGGCTCGATCCACCAAGCCCTGCAACACCACTGTCTGGATGTAAGGCCCAGACCGAAGCTCAGACGCGTGGGCCGGGGCTGCGGGAGGTGCAGGCGGTGGGGGCACTCCTGCTGGGGCTGAGAAGAAGAGTAGGGAGCCTTGCGCCCGTGTGGTCTGCCTGCTGCAGGGCCTGGCCAGCCGGCGTCCTCGGCAACCTGCGGCCTGCAGGATGCGGCTGTAAAGCGCTGGGGCTCGATGGCCCTCTGGGTAGGCGGTCCTGATTGATGTCAGGATGATGTAGTGGAAGAGGCAGAAGGAGCAGTGGCTCACGGGCAAGCAGGCCTGCTCGGCCTGGCTCTCAGCCTCCTGCGCTCGGTCAGCGCACCGCCGCCTTCGCCAAGTTCCGCCTCAGGCCTTTACCCGTGCCTGTACGTCTGCTGGGTGTACTGCTCCTGCCTGCTCTTGTCACTCTGGGCCCCAGCTTGCCATGAAGCTGAGGAAGGCCTGGCTTCTTTGAGGACAACGGCCTCAGCCCCTAAGGCGGTTCCCAGGCCCAGGCTGCATCCCAGAGTGGGCCAGACTCTCCTGGCCATGCACCTGGACAGGTTGAGTGCCAGCTAGTCCAGCTGGTGTGCGTGAGCCTCGGCGGCCTCACCAGGGCGCAGCTTGCTGCCTGCTGAGAGAAGGTCTGCATCCTCTGCAGCAGTGGGGTCGAGCCCCGTCCAGGCTGAGCGGCGGCGGCTCAGCTCTGGAGGTGAGTGGACTTGCAGCCCCTCATCCTGCTCAGCCACCTGATCCACGACCCTGAGGTCGGCTCTGCATGCAAGTCGCCACACAAGCTGCCCACGGGCCTGGGAGGAGTTGGCATGGATGGGGGTGAGGTGACGGGAGCCAGGGCTGCACTCACCTCCTTGGCCTGGGTCAGGCTGTGCAGCAATCTGAAGAGGCGCTGGCCAGAAGTGTCCATCTCAAGCACCATGCAGAGTGGCCTTCAGGGTGGCATTGTCCCAGGACAGCTCCTGCTTCCTTTGCTGAAGACAATGCAGAGTTGGGGACAATGAAAGGTAAAAGGTAAAAGAGGTGATGGGAGTGGACAGTGGGAGCAGGGAACAGAAAAAAAGAGGAAGTGAAGTATAGAAGTGAGGAGGGAGAGGAAGGCAGGATGTGTGAGTGTGACGGAAGGAGGAGGAGGAGGAAAAGAGAAAAGAGGAGAGGGAAAGGATGGGAGAAGGTAAAGGGAGGAGGACAAAATTAGGAAGAGGAGAGAAGGAAATAGGGAGGCAGAGGGAGGATCAGAAGTGGGGAGGTATGAGGATGGCAGAGGAGGAGAAACAAAGGGAGGATGAGCGGATGGGGATGGGGAAAGGGAACAGAGACAGAAGAAGGAAGGAGGAAGGAAGCGAGAGAGAGAGAAGGGGAAGGAGAGGAAAAGAGAGAGAGAAACAAAGAGGAGAAGTGAAGGAAAGTGGAAGGGAAAGGAGTAGAGAGAAGGAAGGAAGGAGGGAGAGAAGAGAGAGGAGAGAGGAGAGGGGAGAGAGGAGAGGGAGAAGGAGGGAAGGAAGGAAGGAAGGAGAAGACGGAAAGAGAGAGAGAGGAGGAGGAGGAGGAGGAGGAGGAGGGAGAGAGAGGGAGGAGGAGGGAAGAAGGGGAGGAAAGAAGAGGAGCGAAAGGAGAGAGGAGGAAGAAGAGGGGAGGAGGAAGAAAGGGGAGGAAAGAAGGAGAGGAGGAAGGAGAGGCAGCAGAGAAAGAGGAGAGGGAGGAAGGAGGAAAGAGAGAGAGAAGAGAAGGAAGAGAGGAGGAGTGGGAAGGAAGAGAGAAAAGGAAGGAGAGGAGAGTGGGAGGGAGGAAAGGAGGAAAAGGAAGGCAAAGGAGGAGGAGGAAAGGAGGAAGGAGAGAAAGGAGAGGAGGAAAGGAAGGAAAGAGGAGAGAGGGGAAGGAGGGAGAGGGAAGGAGGAGGAGGAGGAGGGCAGGGGAAGGAGGGGCGGGGCCAGGAGAGAGAGGGGGGAGGAGGGGGCAGGGGGAAGGGGAGGAGCGGGACGGGAGAAGAATGGCAGGGAGGAGGCAGGAAGAGGAGCAGGAGCAGGAGCAAGGGCAAGTCCGGGGTCCTCACCAGGGCTTCCTCCAGGCGCTCCTGGTTGCGGCTGTTGAGCTCCTGGGCCTCCCGCGTGGCGTCCACTGCCCGGTTCAAGGCCTCTCGCAGGTCCATGAGACCGGCCTCATGCTGGGCCAGCCGGTCGCGGGTGTGTGTGGCCAGTGCCTGGTTCTCCTCCCAGAGGCTGCTCAGCTGCTCCTGCACTCGGGCCAGCACTAACCGAGACCAGGGTGAGGGTGGTCACTCTGGAAGCCAGGCTCCTTTGTGACCCCTGGTCTCCACTTGGTGACCACCAGTCCCATCTGCCCTGTGATACCCACCTGATGCCACTCCACACTGACCTCCCCCTTGGAGCTCCCAGGTCCCTGCCTCTCCCCACCCGCCTGCCAAGGCCAACACCACTCACATCTCTGCGCTGCAGCCAACTCAGCCTCAGCAGCTGCCCGCGGGGCCCCCAGGTCCCGGGCCCGCATCTCCCAGAGCAGCCGCTCCACCTCGGCCAGCGTCCGGCGCAGCTGCTCACCTGACAGAGCCGAGGCATTGGCCAGCCCCAGGTGGCCGGTCTGGGACATGAGCTCTGTGGGGCACGGGGTCATCAGAGCCTGGGGCCGCCCGTACTAGTGCACCTGCCTGCTGGCTTCCAAGCCTAAGACCCCAGCCCTGCCACCCTTGGCAGGCCAGCGGCCCAGGACCTGAGTGCACCTGGGTGGCCCCTAGAGCCCCTGGGCCAAAGGCCACGGCTGCCCCAACACCCTGACACCACTCTGCTCAGCTGGCTTCTGAGGCCTTCTCATCCTTCCCCTCGCCGCCTGGTCCACCCTGCTCCCTGGTCATCTCTCTCTGAAATGGCACCCCCTGCCAACCCTCAGGCTGGGCCAGCAGGTCCTATTAGGCTCAGGGAACCAAGTCTCTCCAAAGTCCTGTGTCTCAGTGTGTACTACGGGACATCTGTGAGCGTGAACATCTAACCAGCACATTTCCTGGGGAGGCTGTCGAGGGATCTGATGTCTCCTGGGGCCACCTGTTTGGCCACACGGCTGTGTCGCCAACCTCCCAACCCTGCCCTACTGTTCACTCGAGGTGCTGTCTCCCATCTAAGCAGACAGACCCTGCCTGTTCTTCCAGGCCAAGCTTGGCCAGGCACCCCCGCCCCTGCCCGAGGCAGCCCTCCTGGCTCTGAGCCCTGAGCCTGGCTGGGCTGGCCCCTACCGCTCAGGGTGCGGTCCACAGCCCGGATAGCTGCCAACAGCGTCTTCGCCCGGCCCAGCGTGGCCTCGGTGCCAGCCAGCAATCGGCTCGCCTGGTCTCGGGTCCCCGCGGCCTGTGGAGGCAGAACCCACTAGTTCACGCTGCTGGTAGGCGAGGGTCAGGGTGGCAAGGGAGGGCCTGGGGTCTAGGGGCGCTGAGGGTCCCAGGAAAGAGGGACTCCTTATCTATTTAACTCTCTGTCTGATGACTTGTTATTTATCATTTGTTACTTACCTAAAATAATTGGTTATTACTTGCCATTTATTACTTCTTGTCAATTTAATGAAACAGTTACTCATTAAGACCTTTGAGGCCAGCCACGGTGACTCATGTCTGTAACCCCAGCACTTTGGGAGGCCGAGATGGGCAGATCACCTGAGGTCGGGAGTTCGAGACCAGCCTGACCAAAATGAAGAAACCCATCTGTACTAAAATACAAAATTAGCCGGGTGTGGTGGTGGGTGCCTGTAATCCCAGCTACTCAGGAGGCTGAGGCAGGAGAATCGCTTGAACCCAGGAGGCAGAGGCTATGGTGGACTGAGATTGTGCCACTGCACTCCAGCCTGGGCAACAAGAGCGAAACTCCGTCTAAAAAAAAAAAAAATTTAAGTGATATTATACACTGTAAACAACTGTATTAAGTAGTTTAGATAGCAATTCAGTGACCTGGTCAACCCCTAAGATTCTCCAGCTCCTGTTCCCTGCACTGACACATGTGCAAGGCATGAAGTAACATCTGCTGAATGAAGACAAGCGAACCACGGGAAACACAGGGGAAAGCCTCCCAAGGCCCTGGGGGGTCTTGGGGCTCCTGCCTGGCTGCCCAGCTGCTGTGCATCCTGCCCCAGGCTTGTGCTTTGCTGCTCCAGCACCTCCAGCTGCTGTGCCGTCTCGTGGCGGGGGCCCAGGGGGCTCCGGAGCTGGCTCTGTGGAGAGTGGAAGGTGAGGGCATACACTGGCCCGGGTTGGGGAGGGAAGGCCGGGACGCTCAGTACCTGCAGGTCAGTGATGGAGGCGTTCAGCCTGTGCAGACGGGCCCAGGCCACAGAGCTGGCATTGATGCCACGCAGTTGCTCGCGGATGGCGGGGAGGAGGGTGCCGGCCCGTTCCAGGTCGTCCAGGAGCAGGACCACACAGTGGTCACACACTGCAGGCAATGTGGGTTCACAGGTCAGTGTCATGGGGTCAGGCCAAGGGAGAATGATCAGCTGGGGCCCTGGGGTCATCCGGGTGGGGAGGGCTCAGCCAGAGGGTCATGAGGTCAGCTTAGGGACACAGGACCCGTGGGGAGGTCCCAGGGTTCTGGCAGAGTCATGGGGTCAGGTAAGAGTCTGATAGGGGTGAAGGGCATGGGGTCACCCAGGGAGAAGGTAGGACCAGCACAAGGGGTTGGGGCCGGCACCAGGGTCATGGGGGAAGCCGGAGGAATGGGTCAGGGTGGGGTCATGAGGTCAACATGGGGTCAACACAGGAGACTGGGCTGGGATGAAAATGACAAGGTTAGTGGAGGTCAAAGGACAGCATGGGGCTTCCTGAAAGGTCATTACAGGAGTTAGGTCAGCAGGGAACTGAGTGGGTACCAGGAATCCAGCAAAAGGATGGGGAGAATACACAGTGGGGTGGGGGTGAGGCGGTGGGGCCAGTGGAGGCAGTGGGGCCAGCGGAGGGGGCGTGGCCAGTGAAGGGGTGGGACCAATGGAGGTGGGGCCAGTGAGGGGGTGGGGCCAGAGGGTGAGGCGGGGCCAGTGGAGGGGTGGGGTCAGTGGGGGAGGCAGGGCCAGCAGATGGGGTGGGGCCAGGGCACACAGGAAGGCTAAGGACAGTAGAGGGGTACAGCCAGCATTGGAGCCACAGCGCTCCTCAGCATGGATGGAGTTGGACAGGCATGGGTCTTTTGGGAAATGCAAGGCAGCTGGGACCACTCTGGGAGGTTGAAGTTAACACAGGGGTCACCAGGCAGTGTAGGACTTGGATTCCCACTCTACCCAGGTGTGGGGAAGTGGGGTGTTGAGGACGCACCTTCACAGTGGACGCTGTGGTCCCCAGGCCCACCTGGAACGGGCACCTGATGCTGCTGGCTGCAGGTGTCGCAGCGCTCCCCACTGAGCCCTGGGGGGCAGGTGCAGTGGCCCGTGTGAGGGTCACAGCGGCCCCCAGGGCACTGGCAGCCTGTGGTGGGGGGCTTGGGTGAGCATGGCCGGCCTGGGACCTTGGGGCGTCCCCCATTCAGAAGTCCCCATCCACCCTCCACCCTCCACCCTCCTGTGACCTGCCAGCACTCACGCCTGCAGCCCTGCTCAGGGAGCCCCCAGTAGCCAGGGGCACACTCGCGGCATTGGGGTCCCATGGTCCCTGGTCGGCAGTGGCACTGTCCGCTCTGGGGGTGGCACTCGGAGCCCTCGGCGGCCGGTCCACAAGCACACGGGCGGCAGCCCCCGCAGCCTTCGAAGCCAAAATGTCCCTCCTGTGGCACAGGCTGTAGTCACTACCCTGCCCAGCCCTCAAGACTGTCCCAGACCAACCAGGAGGCCAGGGGTCCTGCCCATCTGGCCCTGCCCCCCGAGGCTCCGCCCATCAAACACCGCCCCCTCAGCCCCACCTAGCAGCCTCTCCCCAGGCCCCAACTCCAGTCCCTAGGCCCCACCCACCCAGCCCTGCTTACCACACAGCCTCACCTGACAGCGGTCACAGCGCTGCCCAGTCACACCCGCCTTGCACAGGCATTGCCCGCTCTGGGGGTTGCAGGCCTCTGTCCCACATGGGGTACAGTCGCACCCTGCAGAAGGGGTCCATGACTGCAGCCCTGGGCCCTCTCACCCCCTAGGTAGCCCCTATGCACCCCACTAAGCCCTCACTTCACTGCCTCCTGCTCTGCCAGCTCCAGGCCGCCGGACCACCCAGCTACCCACTCCTGTCCCAGCCTGGCCCCACCCCCCAGCTGCCTCTGCTGGGCCCGAGGGACCTGCAGACTCCCCACCACGGCCTGCCCTGCTCTGATGGCTGGTGTCCGCTGCCAGTGGCAGGGCATTGCTGGTGGTGTCTAACCATGAGGGGGCCCTGATTGTGGGGAGAGAGGCGATGTGATCGTGAAATGGGGGGGGCCTGATCATGGGTTAGGGGGAGGGTCTGATGGTGAAGGGGGGGGCCTGATCATAGCGAGGTAAAGTCTGACCATGGGTCGGGGAGGGGGGATGTGATCCTGGTATGGGGAGGGTCTGACTGTGGTAGGCAGAAAGGGTGTGATGGTCGGGGCAAGGCCTGATGGTGAAGGGGCCTGATCGTTGGGGCAGGAGGGCCTGATCATAGCAGGGGAGAAAAGGTTGACCATGAGCACAGAAGGCTGACTCCATGTTGTCCTGGCTGGGCCCCAGCATCAGGCACACAGCCTACTTCTGCGGTACGCCCAGCAGGCCTCCCTCCCCAGGGTGCATCCCTCCCAGCACGACGCCTACGGGTGCAGTTGCCGGGCAGCAGGGCGTTGCCATAGAAGCCGGGGGCACAGATCTCGCAGCGTGGCCCAGTGGTGTGGCGCAGGCAGCCACGGCAGGCACCCGTCAGGGGGTCGCAGTCGCTGAAGAGCAGGTTGGGGTCACCATTGCCGCTGCAGTCACAAGGCTGGCAGGAGCTGCCCAGCACCAGCGGGTTCCCGAAGAAGCCGGGCGCACACCTGGGAGCAGGGCGGGGAGGGGCCATCAGTGGTCAGTGGCCCGTGGCCCCCACCCTCGTGTATCCTGGGGTCAGCACTCAGGCCCTGCCCCGCTGCCCTGGCCCCAGCTCACCGCTCACAGGAGGCGCCTGCATAACCAGGTTTGCAGAGGCACTGGGTGCGGCCGCCTCGCAGGACACAGCCCTCGGCGAAGCTGCAAAGACCAGCAGCGTCAGTCACTAGGCCCCTGGCAGTGCCCGGGCCCTGGTGAACACACTGTGCTTAGGCTGGAACACACGCCAGGCGTCTGGGGTCCAGACCTCACGGACACCCCCAGCTGTCCAGGCCTCTGCAGAGGGCAGTGGGAGCCCATCCCACCGCGGGGTGAAGGGAGCGTGGCACCGTCAGGGCTGGCTTACTTGTTGGAAGGCACTGAGAGGGGGCAGGGGCAGCTGACACAGGGGGCACTGGGGTCCTCCCTGCTGCTCACGAAGCCAGCCTGGCAGCGCTCACATTGAGCTCCTTCGGTGTTGTGCTGGCAATCCTGGGGCAGAATGGACAGTCAGTGCTATGGTAGACACACACATCCTACTGCCGAGTCTGTGCAGCTCCCACCACCCCTGCCTGGGACTCTGTGCCCAAGGCCAGATGGTCCTCCGCTGGGCAACACCCTTCCCTGGACCTCAGTTGACCTGGAAGTGCAGTCCCTAGTCTTCCCTGGCATGCCTGATTGTGCCTTCAGTGAATGTACCCCCCGCTAGCCCCACCAGCCCCCACTCACCACACAGATGCCAGAGCCAGGGAGGCAGCGGTCTGAGTGTCCGTGGCACTGACAAGGGACACATCGGCCCAGGAAGAGACCTTTGACGTCCCGATAGAAGCCAGGGGCACATTCCTGAGGGCATAAGGGGGCAGGTGGCATCAGCGATTGAGAGGATGAGGGGCCCCACCCTGCAGGCTCACAGGTCAGACCCTCAGGGATCCTGCAGGCACAAGGCACTGGGAACCCACGGAGTGTGGTCACCGGTGGGTCAGACACTAGTCAGGAACTCCTGGCCTCGGCTGGCTGGAGGTAGGCCAGCACCTGGCGGCTGTTTGAGGACACGGCTCTCAAAGTCACACAGATGTCCTGTCTCAGGAATGACCAGGCCTTGGGGCTGGTGACTACCCCCTCCACGTGGACCAGGGCCTGCTTTTTCCACTCCTTCTAGGAGGTGTCCAACCACAAACCTCCTCATACAGAGGGAGCAAAGTTACAGCAGACAGACAGATTAGCAGCTGGACAGATGCACAGTGGGCAAGGGACAGACAGAATGACAGGCAGACGCCAGGATGACAGGCAGTGAATGACAGGCAAATGCCAGGATGGTCAGTGGGGGATGTCCAGGTGACCCAGTAGGTGGGGACTGGAGTAGGCGGGGAAGGGGTATGGAGGGTGTGTGCATGGAGGGGCAGGCGGATGAGCGGCAGGCAGATGAGGGGCAGGCAGACGGGCAGCAGGGGATGGGCAGGCCCATGAGTCAGCCAGCAGCCTGCAAAGGGCAGGGGCAGGAAGAGAGGCGAGTAGGGAGACAGGAAGTAGAGGCAGCAAAGAAGGGAACACAGGGAAGACGCTGGAGGGAAGGGCGTGCACAGGTGAGCCACCTCATAGTCTGGTGTTGTTCTGACCTCACCTGGCATGAGTCCCCCCGGTAGCTAGCGGGGCACAGGCACAGCTCCACATTGCTGGCCAGGGTACCCTGGCCTGCTGGGCTGGCCACCTCCAGTGCCACCCTGCGCAGGGAGACAGCCGAGGAGATCTGCGAGAAGAGGGCACGGATCTGCAGCTGCTCCAGGCTGGCAAGCACCATCATGAGCTCCTCACGGGACACAGTGTTGCGAGTCTCCGTGTGCCGGAAGTTCCCCTGTGGGTCCAGGATGGCACCTCAGTGGGGCCACACTCAATGGGACAGAACAGGAAGCCTAGAACAGACCCCCCAACCCTGTAGGGGATGGAGGGGCACAAAGACCACGGGGCAGGAGGAGGTACACACAGGTAGAAAAATCAGTCTCCCATGTGGTCAGCCAGCACCTAGATCCCTGCCTCACACCACACAACAAACCAGCTCCTGATGCCTTAAGAATTGAAATACGGCCGGGTGCAGTGGCTCAAGCCTGTAATCCCAGCACTTTGGAAGGCTGAGACGGGCGGATCACGAGGTCAGGAAATGGAGACCATCCTGGCTAACACGGTGAAACCCCGTCTCTACTAAAAAATACAAAAAACTAGCCAGGCGAGGTGGTGGGTGCCTGTAGTCCCAGCTACTAGGGAGGTTGAGGCAGGAGAATGGCGTAAACCTGGGAGGCGGAGCTTGCAGTGAGCTGAGATCTAGCCACTGCACTCCAGCCTGGGTGATAGAGCAAGACTGCTTCCAAAAAAAAAAAAAAAAAAAAAGAATTGAAATACACAAAGATAACAGCCAACCTTCTAGAAGAAAATACAGGCAGGTCCTTTCTGATCAAGTGGTGACAGATACTTTCTCAAACAAGATGCAAAAACGCTTGCTGCCAAGGAAAAAAGGATAAATTCAAGTACATTAACTATAAGACTGTCATCAAAAGACAGCTCAGGCTGGGCATGGTGGCTCACGCCTGTAATCCCAGCACTTTGGGAGGCTGAGGCGGGAGGATCACCTGAAGTCAGGAGTTCAAGACCAGCCTGGCCAACACGGCAAATCCCCGTCTCTACTAAAAATACAAAATTATCCAGGCGTGGTGGCGGGTGCCTATAGTCCCAGCTACTTGGGAAGCTGAGGCAGAAGAATCACTTGAACCTGGGAGGTGGAGGCTGCAGTGAGCCAAGATTGCATCACTGCACTCCAGCCTGGACGACAAAGCCAGACTCCATCTCAGAAAAAAAAAAAAAAAAGAAAGAAAAAAAAAACCAGGTGGGTAATGAAAGGGAAGAGGATGGTTGTTACTCTGAAGTCTGACAGAGGGTGAGCAAACAACACAGAACTCCTCTAAAAGGATGGAAAAGAACAGACCCACAGCCCACAGGTCAAAGAGAAATGGGCAAAAGATGCTGCGAGCAGCGCACAGAGGAGGAAGCCAACAGCGGCTGAGCAAAGATGCTAACGAGCAGCGCACAGAGGAGGAAGCCAACAGCGGCTGAGCAGCTGCTCACCCCTCAGGGATCAGGGACTCGCAAAGCAGGTGGGAGGACAGCATCACACCCCAGGGTGACCCCAGTGCGGAAGATGTCTGACAACGGGTGTGTGCACTCCCCCAGCCCCCGCCCGCTTCTGCTCCTGGGCTGTTTTCCAACACAGAGAATGGGCACAGCAGTACTGGGACCCCTTCCGGCCTTCTCGGGTGTGCTGAGGTCTGGGAGGGACCCGGGTGCCCAGGCCAGCTCCCCTCACCTCCACCAGCTGCAGCTGCCCACGGTGAATGTGGCCGGGCACGGGGTATGCCGGCTCCAGGAATGTGATGCTCATCTGGTTGCCCTGGGGAGGCACATGGGTAGGTGAGGGTTGGCCCGGGCCTGGACCACGGAGCCGCTGGGCCACGCCCACCACACCCACCCAACCACGTGGCTGAGCTGCAGCTCCCTCACCTGCAGCACCACATCCGGCCTGCTCTCCGTGGGGACAAAGACATCTCCCCGCTGGGTCTCCGAGTGCAGTTCATAACGGAGGGTCCCACCGTAGGATGACACCTGGAGGCGGGACAGACAGAGGTGACCTGGCCAGACCCTGGCCACAGGCTCAGAGCCCATCAGCAGTGGTCTGGGCACCCCAAGCACAGGGCCCCCGAGCTGGGCCCGGATACTCGTCCTAGCTGGGACAGGGCCTGGGCACCCTCGTGGACCCTCATGGAGCTCCCCCTCCCTGGACAGAGCCCCACTCCTGGCTCCCAACCCTCTCAGGCGTCCTGGCCATCCTCAAAGTGCCTCCCCCAGACCTGATGCCCTGGCTTACCCGGTCCCCCAGGTAGGAGGGTGGGGCCTGCCAGTACAGCTCGGGGAAGGCCTCAGGCACCACCTCGGGCACGTGCCGCAGGTCTGCACGGAGCATCTCTGTCCCTGGCCGCCGCTCGTGGGGCACCACCTGCCGGTCAGTGCTCAGCAGCACCCAGCCCTCCATGTCCACGAACTGTGGGCACATACATGTGAGTGCACACGGGTGGACGCCCACACATCACAGCGCCCCATCTTGCGTCCAGTCCCACATACGCCCTCCGCAAGAAGGCGCTGCCCTGAGTCCTACGGGCGCACCTCCTGGCGGGTGTAGGACGAGCTCCGGCAGCGCTCCGTGGCCCCAAAACAGAAGCAGCGGGTGCAACCTTTGGGGTTGGCAACATCCAGGGAGAAGGTCCCAAGGCTGCACTGGTCACATCTGGGGCCCTGCACATTCTCCTAGGGATGAGAGGACAGTGAAGGTGGTTGGCAGGTGCCAGGTGCCTGACCCCAGGTTCCTGGTAACCACTTGCCCGTGGGGATGACTCTCCCAAAAGCTTCCGGGAAGCCCCAGCTGCCCAGAAAGACCCATAAGGACACTGTTTCAGCTGAGGCCGGAGGGAGAGGCCAGATCCGGGCCCAGCCCTCACTCACCTTACAGTAGCACTGTCCTGTGAGGGGGTCACACACACCAGGCGCAGTGCCCGCCTCGTGACAGTCACAGGGGCGGCAGTGGGGGTAGCCATGGAAGCCCGGAGAGCAGGTATCACAGCGGCGCCCGGTCACATTGGGTCTGCACCTGCGGCAGGGACAGGAGCTGAGCCCCCTCCACTCCCGGTCACTCACACCAAAGTGAGACCTTGTAGGCACCCCCCACCCAGGCAGCATCCTTCCAGAAGTGGAGGAGAGGGCACTGCTGCACCCAGGGAGCACGAATGGGAGCATGGCGGGTGCCAGAACCTGCTGGCACAAGGAAATGCTGTCCTTAAGGCTGCCAGGGCCCGCGGTGATCCCACTCTGGGCTCTCACTTGCACTGGCCGCTGTCTGTGTCACAGGTAGGGTCTGTGAGCTCCTGGACACCGGGCCCTGAGCAGTTACACTCCTCACAGCCGACCAGGGGGTGGCAGCCAAAGGTCTGGGGCTGGCACAGCAGGCACTCGGGCGGGACGGTGCGTGGTGGACAGATGCACTGGCCCGTGAGCTCGTCACAGAGGCGGGCGCCGCAGTCACAGGCTGTGGGGCGGGCACAGGGTTTGCTGACCCCTCTTCCCAGTCCCGAGCCTCTCAGAGGCTCTGAATGCAGCCCTAGGGGATGTGGCGGCGTGGCGGGGGCGGGGGACAAGAACAGGGACCCCTGCCCTGGGAGCTGAGCCTTGGACAGCTCCTGACGTGGGGGCAGCTGCTCAGAATCAATGTCGTCAGGGACTGTGGACCACCTGCTAGTCCCTGAAACCTTCTGCACAGCCCACAAGCTGGAGTCCTGGGCCCAGGCCTGCAGACGGCCCTGCCAGGCTCTAGAGCATTCGCCTGACCTCTGTGCCTTGCTTTCTGGTCGACCCATCCCCTTTGGGCTCTAGCACCAACTCCTCGCCACTGGGCACCCAAGGACTGGGGTACTCACGCCTGCAGTTGGGGAAGCCCCAGTATCCAGTGGCACAGCGGGAGCAGTCACGGCCAATGACGTGGGCACGGCAGGGACACTGGCCCCCGAAGGGCTCACACGTGGGGCCTGTAGCACCTACTTCGTGGCAGCCACATGGCCGGGCTCCGTTGTTATAGAAGAGGGAGAGGGAGGCAGCAGCATTTCGACAGAACAGGGATGAGCTGCCGGGGCTACATGGAGGGGCGAGCGGTGAGGCTGGCTGCCGGCCCAGACCCCCACCCTGGACCCCTGACCTGCCAGAGCCCAGCCCACCTGATGTGGTAGCCCTGGGCTGCGCAGTGGCTGATGAAGTCATAGGATTTGTCCAGGGGCTCCTCCCGGAGGTAGCCAAAGCTGTAGACGTTCTCAGGGACCACGAGGACATAATCCTAGGGGGTGAGGCCTGGTCACTCTCCCGTGGGCCCAGAGCCTGCAGCGGGGAGGCCCCCAGAGGCTGGCTAGGACCAGGGTCCTGCAGGCAGCTCAGAGTCCTGGCAGCAGCAGCACAACCCAGCCCTGGGCCCTGGCTGCTCAGGGGAGGCCACTCCAAGCCACACAGCAGCTTTGGGGGTGTGAGGACGCAGCAGCATTGATGAGACCTCCTGGTGTCTCCCACATCTCTGCTGGTCACGCCTTCCTCCTCCCTCTCCTTCCTGGAGGCCCCACCTCCTCCAGGAAGGCCACCCTGACCAGCAGGTTGCAGGGTGCAGGGTCCAGGGCCCCTTTGGAGCCTCACAAGGTGGATCGGGAGGTCCCCAAAGGCAGGAGCTGCTTTGCTGGCCACAAGGCTGGGCCTCAGCAGGCCCAGGACAGACCCAGCCCAAGTGAACCAGAGTGGTATGACAAGTATAAGAACAGCTGGTCCCTGAGCAGGACACCAGCTGGGACTCACCAGCCAGAGCCAGCGGCCCTCGGGCACACGCACAGTCACAGTGAGCTCGCTGTGGGTCACGTCCAGCAGGGCCTGGCCCTCACACACCACCAGGGTGCGGCAGCCGTAGCCATGTGGACAGAAGCTGGCATTGGCATGGCCTGAGTGGGGGAGAAAGACAGGGTCAGGTGCCCATCTCCAGTGCCCCCAACACACCCAGAGGGTTGAAGACGGCAGCGTCTGGGCAGCCAAGGAGTGCCCGCTAGCCAACGGCCACAGGCATGGGACGTGCCCAAGAGGTCTGCAAGGCTGGCTCCTCATGTCAGGGGGTTTGGCCGCATCATGACCTACAGATGTCACGCAGGACCCCTTTAGGTGCCGGTCAACTCCATGTGCGGGCCCCCAGGCTTGGCCAAGCCAGGAACCAGACAGACACACAGGGCCGCACGTGCTGCCAGCGGCATCCTGGGGCAAGTCCTCAATTTGTCACGTGCCATGGAGCACAACGGGGCTTCCCAACGCACGAGACAGAGGCAAGACCCAGGCTTTTCTGGGAATGTGGGGGACGGGTGGGGGCTGCAGCCTGCAAGGGCAGCTAGTTTGGGAACTGATGGCAGGATAGGATCACGTTGCCTGTCACTCAAAGCAGGCAGCACAGGTCACGCTGTGGCGCAGGCGTTCCAGCCTCATGGTGTGTGGTAGCCCCTCCAGCCCACACCCCAGACACTCACCCTGCCACACGCGGCCGGCGTTGATGAGGACTTCCACGGGGAAGGTGGGGTGGGCGGGCTGGTAGCCGTGCAGCAGGAAGGCGTAGCGGCCCAGCGTGCGCACATGGTTGGTGAAGACCACGGTGGCCTGCAGGGATGGGCCCCAGTGAGCAGGCTGAGCTGTGAGCCCCGGCTGCCCCCTGGACCACCTGCCCTGGGTTGGGGCCCAGAGTCCTGCCCTGACACCGCCGTCCCTCTAGAGATCGTGGCCCTCACCTGGGGCTCACGCAGCAAAGTGGGCTCCACATCAGGGTCCACGGCGGTGGGCGGCCGAGGCTGGGGTCTGGTTGGGGACGTGGCTGGCGTGAGGTCCTGTGCGTGGGTCAGCGGAAGGCCGGGCGGCAGCGGGATCACCTGGCAGTCCCTGAGGATGATGGGCTGGGGCGGCTTCGGGAAGCGCGAGGGCAGACAGGCGGCACTGGTGAGAGCAGTGGGTGAGTCAGAGCCAGCCCTGCCACCGGGCCCTTGGCCGCGCCCATCCCAGCCCCACTACCTGCTGGGACCAAAGGCTCCGTGGCTGCTGATGCAGCGGACCCGGGGCTCCACGAACTCCGGGCTGAACTCCTCCATGGGCACCAGAGTGACCCCGTGCTGCAGGCAGAGGAACGAAATGCTGCAATGCCCGTGGGGCGGGGAGGATGGGGGGTGCAGGCGGTACAACACTGGGGCCAGTCACACAACTCAGACCCAGGTAACTGCAAACCCAGGCATCCGACCGAGCCCTGCTCTTTGCAAGAAGCCCTTGCCCCTGTTCCGGCTGCACAAACCCCAGCCCTGAACCAGCGTGTGGGCCAGTTCCTGGGCCCACAGGCCTATGTGGCTCCTCCCATGGCCCTCTTCCTCCCCCTCGTCCTCCCATCCACCACTGTTCCCCCACCCTTATCTCAAGTGCTGCTTGGTGCCACCAGGCTGGGACAGGCCTAGCTCTCCCAGGACCCAGCCCAGGCCAGCGCTCAGTAGGCACAAGCCGCGAATGGGTACTCCCTCCCCGTGCGGCCACACGAGGTTGGTGTCTCGGAACACAGCAACTTATCCGCAGTGGGAGACGCGGCTGCACAGAACATGTTGTGTGGCATTTATAGAGAGTTCCAGGCCAGGTGCGGTGGCTCCTGACTGTAATCCCAGTATTCTGGGAAGCCCAAGTGAGCAGATCACCTGAGGTCGGGAGTTCGAGACAAGCCTGGCCAATATGGTGAAACCCCATCTCTCCTAAAAATACAAAAATTAGCCGGGTGTGGTGGTGAGTGCCTATAGTCCCAGGTACTTGGGAGACTGAGGCACGAGAATCGCTCGAACCCAGGAGGCGGAGGTTGCAGTGAGCCAAGATCTTGCCATTGCACTCCAGCCTGGGCGACAGAGCAAGACTCCATCTCAAAAAACAAAAAACAAAAAAGAAAGTTCCAGAACAGGCAACCAACCAACGCTGTCTGTGCCAGGAGGTGGCTGCCCTGGGACCTGGGGGCATCTAGAGTGGGGCCACGTTGTTTCTGGGCCTGGGAGCTGTGACTACAGGTTCTTTCCTGAGCACATGAAACAGCTCGGGGGGACATCAAAAGGGACTGAATCCACAAAGCACTTGCAGGAGGGGTTCCAGAAGAAACATGCTGGGCATGAGTGGGTGCAGCTGCCATGGAGACCTAGGACCCCAACTGTCCTCTCCCCTCTCATGCATGTTTCAAATCTTCTGAAAGAAGCTGACCCCTCGGGGTGGGGGTCTGAGAGGTCTTTACCAGGTAGAAGCGTGCCTGCTCAGCTGTGAGCCTCACGCTGGCCTCTGAGTCCAGGTGGAAGACGGCCAGGCGGTCCTGGGTATCCCGGGCAGTGCCCCGGCACAGGGTGCTGTGGGGGGAGGGTGGTCAGCAGGTGGGGCAGCCCCGGGCGTGCCCTTACTCCAGCCCCACCGGCTCCTACTCACCTGTACAGGCAGGGGTGCAGGGAGAGCAGCCCCTGCTGGGGCGCCCGCTGTGGGGTGTGCACGGCCACACCCACCTCCTGGCGGGCATCCTCATTGGCATACTCCACCACCAGGGCGTAGCGGCCCGGCTGTGGCACTGCCACCTGAAGCTGGACATCCACCTGCAGGGAGGGCAGGGTGACAGGCGGCCCACAACCCTTTGCCCTTCCCACCTCCCTCCCCTCCTACTCCAGCACCTCCCTGACCTCAGGGCCTGCCCCTCAGCTGAGTCCCGCCTTGGCGATGGGACAGCTCCAGGCATGTGGTGGGGGCTGGGCTGTATGTAGAGGCCACAGCCGACCCCATGTACAGACAGGCACCGAGGTCACACACGCAGGAGGCAAGAGGAAGGGGCGCCCTGCCTGGGTGCTGGGCTCCATTGCCTTAGGCAGTGCCCTGTTTCTATAACCTGCCACTGCCACAGGACCCCCAGTCCCTGGGCCAAGGTCCTACAACACCCATTGCTCCGTGGGGTCCCAGAACACTCACATCACTGCCTGTGCAGGTGACCAGTGGTGGGTGCGATGGGCTGAGCTGCTCCGTGGGGCAGGGCCGGGGCAGGCTGTTGTCCTGGCGACACAGGGCCTCCAACCCCGCGGCCGAGGGGAAGCCATCCAGGGGGAGGTGTGTGTAGAGGAGGCAGCTGGGGGGACACAGGCTGTGGTCAGCCCCAGGTCCCCAGAGAGCCTGAGTAGGGAAAGCCAGGCACAGTGGGGGTCCAGGCAGCCCTGACCCCGGTCCCACCGCACGCATGAACCTCACTTGTCGCCAGACTGCTGGGTAGAGGGGCGGTACGTGCAGGCCTCGGTCACCCGCAGCTGCAGGAGTGCTGCCTCGTAGTATGCACTAGGCAGCAGAGCCACGTAGTCCTGCAGGGTAGAGGTAGCACTAAGAGTGGTGGGCCCCACCCCCTGCCCCTGCTCCCAGCCCTCACTCCAGCCCCTGCCTCACCAGGAGCACCCCTTCAGCCTCCACAAGCAAGGCCCAGGTGCCAGGGTTCAGCACGAAGGGCTCTCCGAAGCCCCTCTGGGGCACAGTGACAAAGGCAGGTTCTGTGCTGGGCGGGAAGGCCACGGGCTGGCTCTGCGCTGTGCCTGGGAGAGGTAGGGGGTGAGACTCCTGAGCCCAGCCCTTGGGGCCACCCCAGGCTACACCCCTGCAGGGTGGGGGATAGGCTGGTCCTACCACCCACATGAGCCAGAGGAAGGTGGCGGGGCTTGGGCGTGGGCTGGGCTGGGTACGGCAGGGCAGGGCAGGGTGGGGCAGGGCGGGGCAGGGTGGGGCGGGGCGGGGCGAGGCGGGGCGGGGCAGGAGCTGCGGCCCAGGGACCCCCACTCACAGTTGGCGCAGGCGGCCGACCTGCCCTCCTCTCTCACAGAGACCCGCCCGCTCACACTCACGGCCCCCCGGTTGACGTATCGGAAGACAAGCCAGAAAAGGTCGGGGGAGGTCAGGCTCAGCCTGGCCACGATCCTGGGCTGGGTGGGCATGAAGTGTCAGGTCACTCTCCCTGACCACCACCAGCCTGAGGTCCGGGCCTTCAAGGGGCCTGCCCACCCCTCCCTGCCAGTCACGCCTGGCTCCACGTCTATGCTGAGCCTGGGAGGGGGAGCACAGCGCCCACCTGGACAGGTGCCATTTGCGCGTAGCCCCTCCAGCTGAAGTTCTCGAACTCAAGGGGGTTGAAGCCAAAGCGCACAGCGTGACCCTCAGGTGTGGCGGCCTCCTCCAGCTCCAGGCGCAGGTGGTGCAGGTCCGGGAGGTAGTGGTCCCTCACAGGCCTGGCCACAGCACGGGCTGGTTAGGTGCAGCCTGGCTATCCCACCTGGCCCTGCACAGCGGCCCCGAATCTCCAGAAAGGGCAAGGCCTCACGTGGGCCCATGGTGAGGGACACAGAGGGGCCTGGAGGATAAGCTGCCTGCCCCGCTCCCTGCCATCTAGTGGGGAAGGGGTACCCACCGGCTGCAGGTGGGGCCCTGGGTGTTGGGGCGGCACCGGCAGGCACCCGTCCTCGGTTCACAGCTCTGGCCCAGGGCACCGCCAGCGTCACACCGGCAGCCTGCGGGGAGAAGGTGGGAGGTGAGAGGCTGCCCAGCCCCCACCCAGCCTCAGGGGCCCCTCACAGCCAGACTGAGAAGCCTGCCTGGGGCTCTCCGGACGATGGAGAGTCCAGAGGGCGAGGGCGAGGGCGAGGGTGAGGGTGAGGGTGAGGGTGAGGGCGAGGGCGAGGGCGAGGGCGAGGGCGAGGGCGAGGGCGAGGGCGAGGGCGGGGGCGCTGGGATCTGTTAGTGTCATCTGCCCGGGTGCAGGACAGGGGAGAGGAAGCCACGCATCTGGGTGGGAGCTGCGCCCCCTCTCCCACACCCTGGCACAGGCTGGCACCAAGGGGCAGCCGTTCATCACCCAGGCCTCATGCTGCCCAGGCTGCACTTGCCCCTCCGGGCCTCGGGTTCCCCAGCATAAACTGAGGGAGGCAGGGCCGTGGTCCAGGACGAGCGAGTAGGCACTCACTGCGGCAGCCGAAATAGTCAGCCTGATCCAGTCCAAAGAAGCCGTCCCTGCAGGCTGCACAGGCCTGGCCACACACGTGGGGCTTGCAGAAGCACTGGCCGGTGCCCTGGGGGCCAAAGGAGGTGGTGTAGTGGGGCAGGGAAGGGTCCTGATCCGCGTGCCCCCAAATCCCCCACACCTTGGTCCTCAGACTCACTGGCTGGCACTCAGTAACTCCACCCAGCGTGCCCCTGGGGTCGCAGCTGCAGCCTGGGGAGAGCAGAGCGGGACTCAGATGCTTGGTGGGGCAGGAGAGCCTGGCTCCAGCCCCCTGAGGAACCCCCATGCACTAACACCCCTCCAGAGCACACTCATGGGCTGCAGCCCCCCAAGGAACCCCCACACAAAAATACCCCCTCCAGAGCACACTCACAGGCTCCAGCCCCCCCAAAGAAACCCCATACCCCAACACTCCCTCTAGGGCACACTCATGGGTGCAGCCCCCCTGAGGAACCCCCATACCCCAATACTCCCTTTTAGGGCACACTCACAGGCTCTAGCCCAAGGAACCCCCAAACCCCAATACTCCCTCAGGGCACACTTGCACCCCCCTGAGGAACCCCACACACTTCCCTTCAGGGCACACTCATGGGTACAATCCCCCGAGGAACCCCATACCCCACCACTGCCTCTACAGCATACTCAGGGACTCTAGCCTCCCCAGGAACCCCTGTACCCCAACACTCCCTCCAGGATACACTCACGGGTACAGTCCCCCAAGGAACCCCTATACCCCAATACTCCCCCTCCAGGGCACACTCACGGGTGCAGCCCTCGGGGTTGCTGGGGCTTAGTCCCCAGAACCCAGGTTTGCAGCGGTCACAGCTCGGCCCCTCCACGTTAGCCCGGCACACACAGGGAGCCTGTGCCTGGGAGAGGACAAGAAGGCAGGTCAGAGTGGCTCCCTCTGCTCTCCCACCCACAAACCTCAGCCATAGAGCCCGGAGAAGGGCTAGTAAGGGCTGAGAGCCCTCACCTGCCCCCGCCCCACTCACAAGAGTCACCTGCAGTGGGGACAGAGGACCAGCCTAAGCAGCAGACAGGCCCTGGGGTTGCCATGGCAACTGAGCAGCAGGCAGGAAGCCCTGGTCTCACCGGGCTGGGGACTTTTAGCTTGACCTGTGTCCCCACCCACCTCCCACACACGAGCAGATTTGGGCTCACCTCAGGAAGGGCAGGATCCACCAGAGCCAGACCGGCAGGATGGCAAGAGCCAGCTGTGACGAGAGGACCAGGCCTTGGTCATTCCCTGGTGACCAACCCTGAAGGCCAAGGGCGTCCCAGGCCCAGCCAGAACCCACAGTCCCACGGGAGCTGAGGACCAGCACAGGTGCCCCTCATCCACATGGACAGCCTGAAAACACACACCTCCCTGCTCCCTCTGCAGCAACAGACGTGCCACCCCACCACACAGCACCTGCTCATGGACACGCACGCAAACGTGGATACCCGTGGACATTCCACACGCAGTGTGTGACACACATCTGAACAAGGTACGAGCACAGAGCATGGAGACGTAGTCGCAGTACACACAGCACATAGATGCATGTGAACAGCATCACAGGAAGGCAGGCAGCATGTGAACAGCACACAGACCCACAAACAAGCCCGGCACCTGGTACACACAGCCACCTGCCCACTCACCTTCGCAGTAAGGGAAGTTGTAGGCACCTGGCGCACATGTGTCACACCGCAGCCCCGTCACGCGGGGCCGGCAGCTGCATTGCCCACTCCGGGGGTCGCAGGCTGCGTGCAGGGAGCCTTCGGCAGAGCAGTGGCAGGCTGCGGACAAGGATAGTTGTGGGCATGCAGTGGAGACCGCACCCGCCTCCCCCCGCTTCCTCCCTAGGCACTCACGGACACAGCTCGGGAAGCCATGGAAGCCGGGGCTGCATTCCTGGCAGGCGGTGCCTGTGTAGCCGGCGCGGCAGTGACACAAACCTCCTGCCCCGCAGAGCTGGTCCAGGGCTCCCCGGGGATCGCAGGTGCACACTGCGGGGGAACAATGGGGTCAGGCCCTGGCGTCATGTGGGTGGCAGAGCCCCTTCCTGCCCTGGCCCTCTGCTCACGTTGGCAGTTGGGGAAACCGTGGTAGCCAGGGTGGCACTGGTCACAATGAGGTCCAGCAAACCCAGGCTGGCATGGGCAGCGGCCGGCCTCGTCACAGCCCTCGGGCAGGGTTCCTGCAGGGCTGCAGCCGCACACTGCAGAGTGGAGCGGGTGTCATGGTAGGCCAGGCCCACGAGCCTCCCCCACCCGTGCCCACATGGAGAGGTGCTACTCACACTGGCAGAGAGGGAAGTGGAAGTAGCCAGGGGCACAGCGATCACATGTGGCCCCCTCGAAGCCCTCTCGGCACCTGCACTGGCCTGTGTCAGGGTCACAGCGGTCATCGGCCACTCCAGGGCTGGAACACTGGCAGGCTGCAGGGAAGGGCGGCCCACATGCTTGGTCAGAGTCACCAGGCCCCTGGTGTCCGCCTCGAGAGCAGGTGGAGGTTGAGCGGGGACAGGGGACTCACGCTGGCAGCCGGGGCCATAGAACCCTGGCACGCAGAGCTCACAATGGGTGCCTTGGAAGTTGGGTTTGCACACGCAGCGTCCCACTCTTGGGTCCTTCCGGCAGGCGTTGCCCTGGGTCCCTGACGCGCTGCAGTCACAATCTGGAGGGTGGGGACAGGCAGGGGAGTCTCAGATGCCCTGCAGACCCCAGTACGCCCCTCCTGGCAAACCTTCCCTCTCCACAAACTCATTTTCTTACACTTTTACATGACATTAACTAGAAAATAAAAGAATAAAAATCCCAATAAGGGAGAGGCGTGTTTGGGAAAACAGTGGCATGCAACAAAGTCAGGCCAACTATCAAAACGCTTCATTAGTTATTTGTTATGTAGATTCCAAGTTAGCTGCAAGCATTAACACAAAGAGAAAATACAAACAAATCAAAACAAGCTGCAAAGCAAATTATAGTTTCTTTAGAAACAACATCGGGCGTTGAGAAGAAGGTAGAAAGAATGCACCAATGTCTTAGGCATGAAAGGAGAGTTGTAAACATGCTTCAGTTTTTGTACTGATACAAAAATAAAGGTTCAATACTTGTCAGAAGTGTAAGAGTAACCATTGGTCAGACCAGAACACAGAGAGCTTGCAAACTCTCCCCAGAGAGGAAACAGTAGCAAAAACAAAAAAACGCACCAAAATCAAAGCACATTTTCTTGCTCTAATTTGTCAGACTCAGGAAAAGAAACATTTCAGGAGAAAAGAAGAAATGGTAAGAGGGCAGGCGCAAGCCCGAACTGACAGTGGCGAGGAGGATCGTGGGGCTGGGTTGTCTCCTTCAGAAGATAAAAACCGAAGACATCAGCGTGACCAAGAGGAAACTCCAGTCATAGCCTCTTGAAAGAGAGTACCTTAAACCAATGCCTCAGGTGGTAAACCGAGAGCTCTGTGCAGGGAGCTGGGGCGGACGCAGACACGGAGGTGAGTGAGGATGGAAGGCACGGTGGTAATGAGACAGAGGGAAGCTCGGGCACGCCACCCAGTGGGGCAGCAGAAACGAACCTCTAGGAGCAGGTAACGTGCCCGTGTCCTGGGGGTGAGGGAAGCTAAAACTATAAAACGGCAAGGAGAATTTGGCAAAACTGAGTCAGAGAGACAAAGACTGGATGGAGATACATAGTTAGAACGGGATCGCTCAGAGGGACAGCAATTAAGCATGGGTACTGTGGGTTTGAAGAGCATAATGAACAAGCCTACTTTGTTTGTTTGTTTTTTTGAGATGGAGTTTTGCTCTTGTTGCCCAGGCTAAAGTGTAATGGTGCCATCTTGGCTCCACCTCAAACTCTATCTCCCGGGTTCAAGCCATTCTCCTGCCTCAGCCTCCTGAGTAGCTAGAATTACAGGCATGCGCCACCGTGCACGGCTAATTTTGTATTTTTAGTAGAGACGGGGTTTCTCCATGTTGGTCAGGCTCGTCTCGAACTCGTGACCTCAGGTGATCTTCCCACCTCAGCCTCACAAAGTGCTGGGATTACAGGCGTGGGCCACTGCGCCTGGCCACAAGCCTGCTTTAACATGCCAAATCGGTACTTCATAGAGAACACACGTTCCTGTCCAGTGTTCCTGGAACAATCGAAAAGTGGTCACGCTCTAGATTAGAAACAAAGAAAATCTCAAATTCCAAAGACAAAAGGCAGAAACTGCCAGGCACAGCGGCTTACGCCTGTAATCCCAGCACTTTGGGAGGCTGTGGTGGGTGGACCACCTGAGGTCAGGAGTTCGAGACCAGCCTGGCCAACACGGTAAAACCCCATCTCTACTAAAAATACAAAATCTACCCAGGCGTGGTGGCGGCGCCTGTAATCAATCCCAGCTACTCAGGAGGCTGAGGCAGGAGAATCGCTTGAACCTAGGAGGCAGAGGTTGCAGTGAGCCAAGATCGCACAACTGGACGCCAGCCTAGGCAACAGAGACTCTGTGTCAAAATAAATGAATAAATAAATAAAAATTTAAAAAGTCATCACATTCTAGGTTAGAAACAAAGAAAATCTCAAATTCCAAAGACACAAGGCAGAAACTGTCAGTGTGCCAAGTCTAACCACAAGGCAGCAAAACCAGAACTGAACGCCACACAAAGGACAAGAGGGAAACCTCAGCACCTTCAACAGTGACAGGGCGAAAGAAAATAAAACCCCAAATGATAGACTATTAAAAAAAGCCCCAGCAATGAGGACACCCCACATCTCAAACTACAAGAAACCTAGCCAAAGCTATACTCTGAGGAAAATTTATAGCTTTAAACTTGTTTCCCAGCCTCAGGACTGCGGACACTCTGGGCTGGATAACTCTTTGTTCTGTGTGCAGGAGTGGTCCCGGGTTGTAGGATGCTCGCAGCATCCCTAGCCTCTACCCACTGGATCAGTTACATCCATCAATCATCACAACCAAAAACGTCTCCCGACATCATCTGATGCTTCCTGTGGATCAAAGTTACCACTGGCTGAGAACCACTGCTTTAAGTCTTTTTGTTGGGAATGAAGACGGACTAAAAATAACAACTCAAGAAGCTATAAAAAAAAAAAAGAAAAAGGAATAAATCAAAGAAAGTGGATTAAAGAGACTGAATATTAGAAAGGAAAATCTCTCCTCCCAACTAAAGAAAGAAAAACCTCAGCAGGTCTTAGCAAGAGAACTGCAGCTGTACTTTGAACAGACCAATAAACTCAACGAACCTCTGTTAGGTCTGTTCGAAAAAAAAAAAAAAAAAAAAAGAAAGAAAGAAAAGAAAGAAAAAAATAAAAATAGATGAGAACAGAAATGAACAGAAATTTTAACTTTACAACAGGCCACTGTGCGTAACTTTATGTCAATACATTTAAAAATCAAAACAAAATACACAATTTGCTAATACAAATAATCAAACCTGACTTAAGATGACATAGAAAAATGGCTCGGCATGGTGGCTTACGCTTGTATTGCCAGTACTTTGGGAGGCTGAGGCAGGTCGATCACTTGTGGTCAGAGTTCGAGACCAGCCTGGCCAACATGGTGAAATCCTGTCTCTACTAAAAATACAAAAAATTGGCCAGGCATGGTGGCGGCCACCTGTAATCCCAGCTACTCGGGAGGCTGAGGGGGGAGAATCACTTGAACCCAGGAGGTGGAGGTTGCAGTGAGCCGAGACTGCACAACTGCACTCCAGCCTGGTGACAGAGTGAGACTCTGTCTCAAAAAAAAAAAAAAAAGATGAGGTAGAAAACTGAATACAATAGCCACAGAATACATTAAAACCTTAATTTAAGATCTCTGTTGAAAAACAGGTATCAGGACCAAAGGGTTTTGTAAGTTTGACCAGACTTTTAACAAGTAGATAATTTCTGTGATTTTTAAACTGATCGGGAACATAAAAAAGTGTGGATCATTTCCCAAGTATTTTTCAAAACCAAAACAATCTCACTTGTGAATTTAGACAAAATAAAATATTTATGTTCAACACTATGTCTCCGTTAGGAAAGACAATACAGTTCATTGTAATGAACACATTGAAAGTGAATACTGTACAGTCACAGGTAATTACTGCCTGCTTACCATGGCCCAGTAGCGAAAAGATACATTGTCAGTAGTTTACACCAGGGATTAGCAAACTAGTCTATGGACTCCTCGCTGGCTTTTGTAAATAAAGTTGTATTGGAATGCCACCAAGCCCACTGGTGAATACATGGTTCTATGGCTGCTTGCAAGCTACAGCTGGCAATGGCAGAGCTGAGGAGTTTCCCCACAGGGATCACACAGCCCTGAGTCTATGACATTTACTGTCTGGACCTTTTCAGACAGTTTGTTGACCCCTGGTTTATACAACTGATGAAAAACTAAACATTTTCACGTAAAAAAGAAAACCATCACAGAACCAGCAGACAAGAGAATTCCTGGGAAAGGGAGTAGAATCTAAATCTGACCCAGCCAGAGATTCAGTAGAACAACATGGGTAGATTCACCTAAAAATTTACAAAATCAGAACACAGAAAAAAGCTCCCCAAAAAATAAGGAGCAAATGACCCATCAGGAGAAAAACACAAATCTTATAAGAAATAGGTGATACAGGCCGGGCGCAGAGGCTCACGCCTGTAATCCCAACACTTTGGGAGGCCGAGGCGGGCAGATCTCTTGAGGTCAGGAGTTCCAAACCAGCCTGACCAACATGGAGAAACCCTGTATCCACTAAAAATACAAAAATTAGCCAGGCGTGGTGGCGCATGCCTGTAATCCCAGCTACTTGGGAAGTTGAGGCAGGAGAATCACTTGAACTCGGGGGCAGAGGTTGCGGTGAGCTGAGATTGCAGCATTGCACTCTAGCCTGGGCAACAAGAGCGAAACTCCATCAAAAAAAAAAAAAAAACCAAAAAAAACCACGAAAAACAAAGCAGTAGAAAAGTCAAGAAGATTCAAGCTTACAGAGTAGTCAAAGCGCAGCTAAAAACGACGCAATATCGTGCCAGGCGTGGTGGCTCATGCCTGTAATCCCAGCACTTTGGGATGCCAAGGTGGGTGGATAACCTGAGGTCAGGAGTTCGAGACCAGCCTGATCAACATGGAGAAACCCTGTCTCTACTAAAAATATAAAATTAGCTGGGTGTAGTGGTGCACGCCTGTAATCCCAGCTACTCGGGAGGCTGAGGCAGAAGAATCGCTTGAACCTGGGAAGCAGAGGTTGTAGTGAGCCAAGATCACGCCATTGCATTCCAGCCTAGGCAAAAAGAGCGAAACTCCATCTCAAAAAAAAAAAAAAAAAGATGTAATATCAAATACAATCTAAGACCCCACTCACTGGGAAAGATGCCATGCTTTTACGTCCTGTCATGAAAGGGAAAAACCCTACCAACTAGACTGTGATATGCCATCAAGCAAAAGACGGGTCCCAATTCCAGAAACACTAAAAAGCGAGGGAATGTGGCTCTAACTTGAGAATATTTTTTGTCTATCAAGCTGACGTGATAGACTCTGCTATGCGGTAATGGCAGTGATTCGGTCAGCAGGTGCCGTGCTGCTCTGTGACTGTGACTGTATGCTGGGAGACTTTTTTTTTTTTTATTTTTTGAGACAGAGTTTTGCTCTTGTTGCCCAGGCTGGAGTGTAGTGGCGCGATCTCAGCTCACTGCAACCTCTGCTTTCTGCGTTCGAGCGATTCTTCTGTCTCAGTCCCTGAGTAGCTGGGATTGCAGGCATGCGCCACCACGTCTGGCTAATTTTTGTATTTTTAGTAGAGACATGGTTTTCCCATGTTGGCCAGGCTGGTCTCGAACTCCTGACTTTGTGATCTGCCCGCCTCGGCCTCCAAAAGTACTGGGATTACACGAGCCACTGCACCCAGCTGACTTTTTTTGATTTGGTTTTTCTTGTTTGTTTGTTTGTTTTTGTGTCAGAGTCGCCCAGGCTGGAGTGCAGTGGTGAGACCTCAGCTCACTGCAAGCTCTGCCTCCCAGGTTCATGTCATTCTCCTGCCTCAGCCTCCCGAGTAGCTGGGACTACAGGCACCCGCCACCATGCCTGGCTAATTTTTTTTCATATTTTTAGTAGAGACGGGGTTTCAGTGTGTTAGCCAGGATGGTCTCGATCTCCTGACCTCGTGATCTGCCCGCCTCGGCCTCCCAAAGTGCTGGAATTACAGGCATGAGCCACCACACCCAGCCTTTTTTTAAAATTTATTTTTTGAGATGGAGTCTTGCTCTGTCACCCAGGCTGGAGTGCAACGGTGGATCTCAGCTCACTGCAACCAGGTTCAAGCGATTCTCCTGCCTCAGCCCCCCCAAGTAGCTGGGATTACAGGTGCACGCACCACCACGCCTGGCTAATTTTTGTATTTTTAGTAGAGACAGGGTTTCACCATGTTGGTCAGGTTGGTGTTGAACTCCTGACCTCAGGTGATCCATCCGCCTCGGCCTCCCATAGTGCTGGGATTACAGGTGTGAGCCACTGTGCCCGGCCAGTTTTCTACCTCATCTTAGTAATGCTTTATCACAGCATTATTTTTTTAAAAAAGAACCTCGATTTCCAACCACTGGGGGTTGTTTAAATACTTAATTAGTCCCTATGAAACGGACCATAAGACAATGTGTTTACAGGATTGTGGCTGGGACGTACAGGGTGCAGAGCGCATGGCGACGCCTGTGAAAGAGAAGTGCTTGTGAAAGAGAAGTGCTTGTGAAAGAGAAGTGCTTGTGAAAGAGAAGTGCTTGTGAAAGAGAAGTGCTTGTGAAAGAGAAGTGCTTGTGAAAGAGAAGTGCT